CACATAGCTACAGTCATCAAGACAGTATGATACTGGCACAAAAACAGAAATATAGATCAATGGAACAGGATAGAAAGCCCAGAGATAAATCCACGCACCTATGGTCAATTAAGCTGTGATAAATGAGGCAAGAATATACAGTGGAGAAAAGACAGTCTCTTCAATAAGCGGTGCTGGGAAAACTGGACAGCTACATGTAAAAGAATGAAATTAGAACACTCCCTAACACCATACACAAAAATAAACTCAAACTGGATTAAAGACCTAAATTAAGACTGGACACTCTAAAACTCTCAGAGGAAAACATAGGAAGAACACTCTCTGACATAAATCAGAGCAAGATCTTTTTTACCCACCTCCTAGAGTAATAGAAATAAAAACAAAAATAAACAAATGGGACATAATGAAACTTAAAAGCTTTTGCACAGCAAAGAAAACTACAAATAAGACAAAAAGACAGCCCTCAGAATGGGAGAAAATATTTGCAAACAAATCAATGGACAAAGAATTATGTCTGAAATATATAAACAGCTCATGCAGCTCAATATGAAAAAAACAAACAACCCAATCCAAAAACGGGCAGAAGACCTAAATAGACAATTCTCCAAAGAAGACATACAAATGGCCACAGGCACATGAAAAGCTGTGCAACATCACTAATTATTAGAGAAGTGCAAATCAAAACTACAATGAGGTATCACCTCACACCGGTTAGAATGGGAATCATCAGAAAATCTACAAACAACAAATGCTGGAGAGGGTGTGGAGAAAAGGGAACTCTGTTGCACTGTTGGCAGGAATGTAAACTGATACAGCCCCTATAGAGAACAGCCTTAAAAAACTAAAAACAGAATTACCATATGACCCAGCAATCCCACTACTGGGCATATACTCAGATAAAACCATAATTCAAAAAGACACATGCACCCCAATGTTCACTGCAGCACTATTTACAATACCCAGGTCATGGAAGCAACCTAAATGACCACTAACAGACGAATGGATAAAGCAGATGTGGTACATATATACAATGGAATATTACTCAGCCATAAAAAGGAACGAAATTGGGTCATTTGTAGAGACTTGGATGGACCTATAGACCATCATATAGAGTGAAGTAAGCCAGAAAGAGAAAAACAAATATCATACATTAACGCATATATGTGGAATCTAGAAAAATGGTACAGATGATTCGGTTTGCAAGGCAGAAGTAAGAGACACAGATGTAGAGAACTTTTGGACACCAAGCGGGGCAAGTGGGGGTGGGGTGGGGGGTGGTGCTGGTGGGATGAATTGGGAGATTGGGATTGACATATATAAACTAATATGTATAAAATACATAACTAATAAGAACCTGCTGTATAAAAAATTAATTTAATTTAAAAAAAGGAAAATGTAATACATTAATAAACAAAAATCTCAATTAAATAGAGTTGGGAGACCAGAAGGGTGAGCTCTCACACCCTCTGAGGATAGAACCTAACAGGAAGAAGAAAGACTCCTTGCCTGGCAAGGACTCAGCCAATGCAAAGCCATGAGCTCTTTGTTTTAGTTATGGTCTGTATATTTTCACACTGGACTGATGACTTTCCTTGAAGACAGACTACCTCTTTTGTGGCTAAAGTCTTTTTAGAAAAGGTTATCCTTACCTGGGGAACTCCTCTAGAACTCTGAAGTACCCATCTTACTGGCCAGGTGTTTTGACAAGTCCTTTTCCTCTCTATATAAGTGTTCTCCTTCCTTTGCCATGCTGGGACTTGCATGTGGTTTGGCATGGTTGCAGACCCCAAATTGTAATTCTCTGCTAATACTGAATAAACCCATCTTTGCTGGAGAAATATTTGGCAGTGTTTTTGTCTCAGGTCAACAGCAGTCTATGTGCTAGCACGTGCACTGCTAATGGGTTAGTCACTGTTTCTATGCTTTTTCAGTGGGCAGAGTAAGGAAATCCTTTTTTTTTTTTTTAAGGAGATAATATATCATGAGTTCATACTGATATTGCCAATTCAAGTTTAAGAGTATAGGGTTATTTCTTAACCTCTGATTTTCTATTTCCATCTGTTTTCTCTCACACTAAAAAAAACAAAAACAAAAAAATAAAAAACTTGCCACAAAGCAAGACAGGGTGGTACTGGCATAAGGACAGACACAGAAATCAATGGAAAAGAACTGACAGTCCAGAAATAAACCAATTTATCTATTCTTAATTAATTTCCAACAAGGCTGCCAAGGCTGTTCATTGGGGAAAGAACAGTCTCTTCAAAAAAGGATGCTGGGAGGGGCTTCCCTGGGGGCACAGTGGCTGATGCAGGGGAGATGGGTTCGAGCCCTGGTCTGGGAGGATCCCACATGCCACGGAGCAACTAGGCCTGTGAGCCACAAGTACTGAGCCTGCACGTCTGGAGCCTGTGCTCCGCAACAAGAGAGGCCGCGATAGTGAGAGGCCCATGCACTGCGATGAAGAGTGGCCCCGTATACCGCGATGAAGAGTGGTCCCCGCTTGCCACAACTAGAGAAAGCCCTCGCACAGAAACGAAGACCCAACACAGCAAAAATAAATAAATTAATTAACAAACTCCTACCTCCAACATCAAAAAAAAAAAAAAAAAAGGATGCTGGGAGAACTGGGTAGCCACATGCAAAAGAATGAAGTTGGATACCTACCTTATAGCACATATAAAAATTAACTCAAAAACTATCAAATACCTAAATACAAGCCCCCAAACTATAAAAATCTTCAAATAAAACAGAGATTTAGCAATGGTTTCTTTTTCTAAGAAATACACATTTATTTGTATTTTCAATACAAGTTCAGTAGCAATTATGAGCTGGCAATGGTTTCTTAAATATGACACCAAAAGCACAGGCAACTAAAGAAAAAATGAAATTAAGTTTAAAACCAAAATTAAAAATTTTTGTACTCCACAGGATACTATTAAGAAAGTGAAAAGATAACCCACAGGATGGGAGAAAACATCTGCAAATAATATACTTGATAAAGGTCCAGTATTCAAAATATATAAAGCACTCTAACAACAATGAAAAGACAACCCAATTTAAAACTGGACAAGGGATCTGAATTGACATTTCTCCAAAGATACAAACTGCCAATAAACACATGAAAAGATGCTTAATATCATTAGTCATCAGGGAATGCAAATCAAAACCACAGCGAGATACCATTTTACACCCAGTAGGATGACTACAATCAAAATGTCAGATAATAAGAAGTACTGGCAAGGATCTGGAGGAACTGGAACACTCAAACACTGCTGGAGGGAATACAAAATGATGCAACCACCTCGGAAAATAGTCTGGCAATTCCTCAAAAGGTTAACCATGGTGTTATCATTTAATGTGGCAATTCCATTCCTAGGTGTTCATGGACACAGGAGAAATGAAAACATATGCCTACACAGAAATTTGTACACAAATGTTTATAGTAGCATTACTTACAACAGCCAAAAGGTGGAAACAACCCAAATGATAAATGGATAAACAAAATTTGGTATATCCATACAATGGAATATTATTTAGCAATAAAAAGCAAAGAAGTACTGATAACATCTACAGTATGGATGAATTTTGAAAACATTATGCTAAGAAAAAGAAGCCAGATACAACAGACCATGTATATGATTCCATTCATATGCAATATGCTGAACAGGCAAATATACAGAAACAAATAGTACCTTAGGGATGGGGGTTCAGGGGTTGGGGATGTAATAGTTAAGGTGATGAAAATGCTCTTTAATTCATTATGGTGATGGTTGCACACTTGTGCGAATATACTAAAAACCAATGAATTGCATAATTTGTACACTTTGGGTAAATTGTACGGTATGTAAATTATATGTCAATAAAGATGTTTTAAAACAAGGAAAGAAGAAGGGATTGGTAAATCGTACTTCTTTTAAAAATGGCATAGTTGTTGGGTTTATGCAGGGTAAAAGAGAAAGCTGGGTATTATTAGCTCTATAGGACACAAAATATGTGACCTTCACTAACAAACAAAGTAATTTGATTCAACAGTCAATAACAAGTAAAGATGCTTGTGACTTAACAGCAGACACCGTTAGCTACCTATCCAATATCTATTTTCCCCTTCTTCCTTGCTAAAAGAATACAGATTTTATTTGGGGGTGACAATACACTAAACTAAATATTAACTTTTGTGGCCTCCCCTGACGCTAATTCTATCCAGTGAGACATAAATGAAAGTCTTCTGGGAGCTTCTGGGAAAGCTTAGCTTTCCTGACCAAAATCAACAGTCAGGACTGGCATAGTTAATTTCTCCCTTCTTCTTACCCTGAACATATATTGTGATGTCTAAAGTTGCAGCTGCCATCTTGCATCCGTGAAGCAAGGAGCAAGACAGTGAACAACAACAAACTAAAAATGACAGCTCAAAAAGACAGAGGGGGCTTGGATCTTTGATTACTTTAAAGAGCTGCTATACCAAGCTGGACTTCCTATTCAGACTTTCTATTATCTTAGAAAAATAAAACCTTATTTTTAAAAGCTCATATAGTTAGGTTTTCTGTTTTTTAAAGCCAGACTCAGTCTCAATCAAAATAATGCTTCCTCAGCCAAAAAATTTTAAATCTTTCAGTCTATTTAAAATTCAAAGATAGTCTCAAAAATCGAAGTGGGAGCGCTTCCCTGGTGGCGCAGTGGTTGAGAGTCCGCCTGCCGATGCAGGGGACACGGGTTCGTGCCCTGGTCTGGGAAGATCCCACATGCCGCGGAGCGGCTGGGCCCGTGAGCCATGGCCGCTGAGCCTGCGCGTCCGGAGCCTGTGCTCCGCAACGGGAGAGGCCACAACAGTGAGAGGCCCGTGTACCACCAAAAAAAAAAAAAAAAAAAAAAAAAAAAAATCGAAGTGGGAAATTGGGTTAAGAAAATTTCTGATATTTCACACTGGACATCTAAGATTTTTTTTTTTTGAAAAAAAATCTGTTTCCACCTTCAAGAATAAGGAAAATAAGAACTCATATTACCTGACACATTCTGTCAATATTTTCTTCAGTTGGCATTACGAAGTACACTGCAGGAACATCTGGAATAGGATCTCGATCAGAGTGCAAAAGCCTAGGACACATAAAGAATATAAAACTCACTTTTTTCTTAGTCACTTATCTAAAAAGATAATTAAAAATTTTATAGTATTTCTCAAACTAGTTCACCAGTTCAAGGACAGTGACCAGTACTCTAAAAGTTCTTGCTGCAATTAATTATTTAACCCAGCTTTCTCCTTATATCAATGTTAATATTATATATTAGTAAGATCCTAATCTCAGTCTTCATTTCCTCTACTCCAATCACCTTATTTCTCATACCTCTTATGGTCAGTCTCTTCTACCAATATTCTCCTTGAATGAGAACTAAAGCACATTCAAAATCAATTTTATTCCCATTTTTCATAGAAATATGGCGGGGGGGAGGTAAGTGGGAGGAAAGTACAGTTCTCTGAGAGGGAAAACAGAAAGCTGGAACTATCTTTAGAAGCAATGAAAATATTTAACCATAAATAAAATAAAATATATTTTTTAAATGAAAGGTATATGAATGCTTCCTTAAAACTTTAAGACCATCTATATTGTTCTACCTGTTGCTTCATAAGAGAATGCATAAGGGATCGGCTAAGCATCTTATTGATTGTACCACTTGATAGTTTTCTCTTTTACAATTCAGAAAGTATATTCATTCAAATATCCCAATATCAACTGAGAAAATATCTTTATGCTCCATTGTAAGATTTCACCATGCTTATATCAGGAAATATGAGAAATGTTCTATTTCTACAATATTCTAGTCATCCTTCTATACGCAATATTCCATAAACAATCTACATATATCCTTCTATACATACAATTATTTCAGTCATCCTTATAAAGGAGAGAGTCAAAGAGGCACATGCTGCCAGTGAGTCTGCATTTGATAACTTTTTTCCCTCTGTTTGGCTGCTGCTAACACAAGAAGGATTATAATGTGCTGGCAGCCATTGTTTGTTGTCTTCTTACACTGGCTGTCCAACTACCTAAAGGGCTACAACCACCATTTCATGTTCTGGAAACCTGTAATTATTGTTTCCTACAAATCAGCCTAAACCAGCTTGCAGAATATAAAGTAACTGATGAAGTATTCTCCAGCAAAAAAGGAAGAACAGTCAGAGGCACGGTGCACAGGAATTTACCAGAATAGCTGTGTAATCCTTTCATGCTCTGATGGCAATAGCAACAGGTGGGCAGCAAGAATGCACAACTCTCAAACTGGCAGAATACCTTGTCACTCCTTAAGGAAGTACTGAGGCCTCACTTTTATTAGTCACTGTTTCTGAGCCACTATGGTTCAGTAGACAAACAGCCCAGAAACAGTGGTCAAGCAATCTGGCCACAACTCTGTTATTAATTACCTGTACAATCATGGGACAATCACTTGAACTCTACAAACTTTAGTCTTTTTATTAGTAAAATAAAATAAAGGAGTTAAAGAGTAAGGTAGCAATAGTAACCAATGCTTATAATAAACCATCATTTTCAAGGATGGCATCAAGGGTAACTCCAGTTTAGGTCATAAGCATTAACATGTCACCACCAACAAATGTGTAGATTAAGTCTGACATAAAAACAAGAGGAAGAACCTGCCAAATACCACGTTTCATCAAACCTAAGGTGCTATCAATTTTAAAACATATTATTAAAACAGGCAGAAAATGCTGCCAATTAAACTATGTCATGGCATTATTAAGGAGATAGACCTTAATTTCAGAAATACTAAATTAAAAAGTATATTTTAGAATTAATGCAATATTCTATTAATTTAAAACAAATATTCAATATAAAATTTAAGAGTTTAACAAGATTCTGATACCCTACTCACTGGAAATCTAAAACCACATTCCCAATAAAAGAGCACACTATAATTCACAGAATTATAATATCACAGAATGAAAATATAAAATATATAATATAAATAAAATATAAAATATATAAAATATAAAAATATCACAGAATGAAAACTGATTATAACATCATCAAAAAACAAAATGCAACTAAGTTAGAACAGTGTAAAACTGGACTGCTTCAGTACATAAAAGTATTAGTAGCTATTCATGTATACAGCCCCTCTTTAAATGTTCTATTGTTCTATTAGGCCAAGTCTACAAAGTAATGCAATTTGTTTTATTCATCAGACATATCATAAGGAATATAATCAAATAAATTTAGTAGTTAGGAAGACAACATAGATAGCTCCCTATGGTGATTAAGTCATTACTTCCTAATTACTTAAATTTTTCATATTAATGATATACTAATTTAGATATTCCTCTTTTTAAAAAGTGTATTTGAATTAAAGAAATAAAAAATTTTCAGAGCTGAACGAGAACTTGAAACAACCAGTTCTTTTCCTTTACATAAGAGAGTAAACCAGTCTGTAGGAAAAGACACAAAAGAGAAAATTTAAATTATGAAATTTTAAATTCTAAGACTGAGGATTATTTTTAACTTCAGAAATAAAGGGTTGAATAAAACAAGATAATGGAAAAAATGTTCTCTATATGCAAGTACTATAACCTAATACTATTTTCTTAATAAATGTCCCTTAGTAATTTGATTTCAGGGTGGCTAAAGACATTTTAAAAAATGTATTTGAGGGATTTCCCTGGTGGCGTAATACTTAAGAATCCGCCTGCCAATGCAGGGGACATGGGTTCGAGCCCTGGTCCGGGAAGATCCTACATGCCTCAGAGCAACTAAGCCCGTGTGTCACAACTACTGAGCCTGCGCTCTAGAGTCCATGCGCCACAACTACTGAAAGCCACGCGCCTAGAGCCTGTGCTTCACAACAAGAGAAGCCAACGCAGTGAGAAGCCTGTGCACTGCAACAAAGAGTAGCCCCCGCTTGCCAGAACTAAAGAAAGCCCGTGCGCAGCAACAAAGACCCAATGCAGCCAAAAATAAATAAGATACAAATAAATTGATTAAAACAAAAGAAAACAATGTATTTGAAAACAGATGCCATTACTAGAAACACGTTAAAACTCACAGATGCAGAGTGATTCCCATGTCTCTCAGCTCCTTCACAGATAGCAGAGGAGAGATGATATCTTGGCCAAATCTGTCATAAATGAGCACCTAGCAGAAGCAAAACAAAAGTCATGCGTTTGTTTAAACATTATTATCAGTGAACAGTCAACAGAGAACCCAATATTAAGATAATGTTCAAGTACATTTTATTTTAATATACTGAATTCTTATACTTACCTCAATTTAATATTTTCCATAATTATTTACCAAAATGTCCATTCATCTAGTAATCCATTCTTAAAGCATTATTACTTGGGCTAAAATAAATTATTACATAAATTTTTTCTTATAAAATACTTTTTCTAAGTTAAAAAACATACCAGAGACTATAAAATCTTCATCTTAGGTTATAATAAAGGACTTGGAACATACAGCAGACTCACTTACACTCCCCTATCCCATTCACATATATCCTTTCTAAAAAGAGAAGTAAAAATTAGTCACTCTCAAAACTAATGCTTAACAAGTTCCAAGACTGTAAAGAAAATTTAGTAATTTAAGCATCTCATGCATTTCCTCACATTGTGAAAGTGTTAAAACTGACACCTCTGATGAGTAGTAAGTATTCCAACTGGGTCTTCTAACTCAGAATTAGTTTTAGAGTTAAGGCAAATAAAAGAGACACTTCAACTAATAGGTGTTTTCCACTACTACATCAATAATTCTTAATGGAGTAAGAAATTGCTAATGAGAGGATGAAACATGCTGTCATACAAAAACATGGTTTGTTTGAATGCCAGCATTTCCTTTAGAAAAGCTAAAAATCTTCTTGCTCCAGTTACAAAAGGCTGGATGTTATATCCTTCAAAAATCTTCCTTCCTTACACCTCAATATATCTGTATTATTAATCTTGTGATAGAGAAGTGATGGGTAGGGAAAGCATCTGACACAAATCTACACCCCAGAAATTCTCAAGTTATTTAATTCAAATGCTGAACATAGGCACTAGAAAGAATAAACAAGTATAGCTTATGCAAAGGGCAATAAGAAGATGACTACAAATAAACAGGAAGGAAGAGGAAAATGAGGGGACACACTAAAGCTTAAATTATAAATCATTTTTCAGATGACTTTAATCACCTTTAGAGTTAACCCAAAGGACTTACCAGGACTCATGAGAGTTTTCAAAACATCCCAAACTGTAACCAAGTTGGTCTGTTCTTGATTCTTACAAAGAGAGAAGTATAAACTGACGATAATCTAACAAGTTTAGACCTAATCAACTGTATTATAATCTCTTTGAAGAAAAAGAAACAGTGAGCATGAGGTTTAGAATGAAGGAGCTCAAAGAATAGGAATTTTAAAAGATTCTCCAGCATTTCTCAAAGGAAAAAGATTATAGATTGCTTTCTGGTCCAATTAACATTTTTACTGACAGTTTTATATATCATAAATTAATGAAATGGCATTCTGGGTTACAGATCACTCTCTCATTAGTTGGTTAAAATGGACCAGTATCCCTAAGTCTGAGTAACCTTAAGAAAGCTTGCAAGATCAAAATTCTGGATTTGTAAAGTTAAGGAACAAAACTTCAACTGGAGTAAAGACCTATCAGTGAGGCCCCACCTAAGAAATCAGCTGAATTCTCTAGATGAATATTATTATCACTGCCTGTGCCATTCCATAAAATATTTATCAAAGAGGATTCATATTTTCTCCCATTCTGCAGGTTGTCTTTTCATTTTGTTGATGGTTTCCTTGGCTGTGCAAAAGCTTTTAAGTTTGATTAGGTCCCATTTGGTAATTTTTTAATTTCCTTTGCCTTGGGAGATTGATAAGAAAATACTGCTATGATTTATGTCAGAAAATGTTTTGCCTATATTCTCTTCTAGGAGTTTTATGGTGTCATGTCTTACATTTAGGTCTTTAAACCATTTTGAACTTATTTTTGTATATGGTATGAGGGAATGTTATAATTTCACTGATTTACATGTACCTGTCCATCACTTGTTGAAGACACTGTCTTTTCTCCATTGTATGTTCTTGCCTCCTTTGTCACAGATTAATTGACCGTAGGTGTGTGGGTCTCTTTCTGGGCTCTCTATTCTGATCCATTGATCTATTTGTCTGTTTTTGTGCCAATACCATGCTGTTAGATTACTGTAACTTTGTAGTATTGTCTGAAGTCTGGGAGGGTTACACCTCCAGCTCTGTTCTTTCTTCTCAGGATTGCTTTGGCAATTCTGGGTCTTTTGTGGTTCCATATAAATTTTAGGATTATTAGTTCTGTGAAAAACGTTATGAGAGAAAATATTTGCAAATAATGCGACCACCAATGGGTTAATATCCAAAATATACTAACAGCTTATACAACTCAATATCAAAAACACCAACAACTCAATCAAAAAATGGGCAAAAGATCTAAATAGACATCTCTCCAAAGAAGACATACAGATGGCAAACAGGCACATGAAAAGATGCTCAACACCACTAATCATTAGAGAAATGCATATCAAAACTACAATGAGGTATCGCCTCACATTGGTCAGAATGCCTATCATCATAAAGTTGACAAATAAATGCTGCAGAGAGTGTGGAGAAAACGGAACCCTCTTACACTGCTGGTGGTAATGTAAACTGGTACAGCCACTATGGAAAACAGTACAGAGGTTCCTTAAAAAGCTAAAAATAGAGCTACAATATGATCCAGGATTCCCACTCCTGGGTATATATCTGGAAAAGATGAAAACTCTAATTTGAAAAGATATATGTACCCCAATGTTCATAGCAGCACTATTTACAATAGCCAAGATGTGGAAAAAACCCAAGTGCCCATAAACAGATGACTGGTTTAAGAGGACGTGGTATGAGGAGAAACAAGAAGAACTACAATCCTGCAGCCTATGGAACAAAAACCACATTCACAGAAAGACAGACAAAATGAAAAGGCAGAGGGCTATGTACCAGAGAAGGAACAAGATAAAACCCCAGAAAAACAATAAATGAAGTGGAGATAGGCAACCTGCCAGAAAAAGAATTCAGAATGATAGTGAAGATGATCTAGGACCTCGGAAAAAGAATGGAGCAAAGATCAAGATGATGCAAAAAATGTTTAACAAAGACCTAGAAGAATTAAAGAACAAACAAACAGAGATGAACAATATGATAATTGAAATGAAAAATACACTAGAAGGAATCAAGCAGAATAACTGAGGCAGAAGAATGGATAAGTGACCTGAAAGAATGGTGGAATTCACAGCCGCAGAACAAAATTAAGAAAAAGAATGAAAAGAAATGAAGACAGCATAAGAGACCTCTGGGACAACATTGAACACAACAACATTCACATTATAGGGGTTCCAGAAGGAGAAGAGAGAGAGAAAGGACCCGAGAAAATATTTGAAGAGATTATAGTCAAAAACATTCCCTAACATGGGAAAGGAAATAGCCACCCAAGTCCAGGAAGCACAGAGAGTCCCAGGCAGGATAAACCCAAGAAGAAACATGCTGAGACACATAGTAATCAAATTGGCAAAAATTAAAGGCAAAGAAAAATTATTGAAAGCAACAAGGGAAAAACGACAAATAACATACAAGGGAACTCCCATAAGGTTAACAGCTGATTTCTCAGCAGAAATTCTACAAGCCAGAAGGAAGTGGCACGATATATTTAACGTGATGAAAGGGAAGAACCTACAACCAAGTTTACTCAACCCAGCAAGGATCTCATTCAGATTCGAAGGAGAAATCAAAAGCTCTACAGCGGCCATCGCTCATGGGCCCAGCCGCCCCGCGGCATGTGGGATTCTCCCGGACCGGGGCTCAAACCCGCATCCCCTGCATTGGCAGGCGGACTCCCAACCACTGTGCCACCAGGGAAGCTGTGACAGGGCGAGAGAGAGAGGCATGGACATATATACACTAACAAACGTAAGGTAGATAGCTAGTGGGAAGCAGCCGCATGGCACAGGGATATTGGCTCAGTGCTTTGTGACCGCCTGGAGGGGTGGGATAGGGAGGGTGGGAGGGAGGGAGAGGCAAGAGGGAAGAGATATGGGAACATATGTATATGTATAACTGATTCACTTTGTTATAAAGCAGAAACTAACACACCATTGTAAAGCAATTATACCCCAATAAAGATGTTAAAAAAAAAAAAAAAGCTCTACAAGCAAAACCTACGAGAATTCAGCACCACAAAACCAGCTCTACAACAAATGCTAAAGGAACTTCTCTGAGTGGGAAACACAACAGAAGAAAAGGACCTACGAAAAAACCCAAAACAATTAAGAGAAGAGTAATAGGAACATATGTATCGATAATTACCTTAAATGTGAATGGATTAAATATTCGAACCAAAAGACACAGGTTTGCTGAATGGATACAAAAACAACACCCATATGTATGCTATCTACAAGAGACCCACTTCAGACCTAGGGACACATATAGACTGAAAGTGAGGGGATGGAAAATGATATCCCATAAAAATGGAGATCAAAAGAAAGCTAGAGTAGCAATACTCATATCAGACAAAATAGACTTTAAAATAGAAAATGTTGGGGCTTCCCTGGTGGGGCAGTGGTTCAGAGTCCGCCTGCCGATGCAGGGACACGGGTTCGTGCCCCGGTCCGAGAAGATCCCACATGCCGCGGAGCAGCTGGGCCCATGAGCCATGGCAGCTGAGCCTGCGCGTCCGGAGCCTGTGCTCCGCAACAGGAGAGGCAACAACAGTGAGAGGCCCACGTACCGCAAAAACAAAAAAAAAAAAACAAAAAAAATGTTACAAGAGACAAGGAAGGATACTACATAATGATCAAGGGATCAAGAAGAGATAACAATTAGAAATACATATGCATTGAGGAGCACCTCAATACATAAGGCAAATGCTAACAGCTATACAAGAGGAAATCAACAGTAACACAATAATAGTGGGGGACTTCAACACCTCACTTACACCAATGAACAGATCATCCAGACAGAAAATTAATAAGGAAACACAAAGCTTTAAATAACACAATAGACCACATAGACTTAATTGATATCTGTAGGACATTCCATCAGAAAACAGCAGACTACACTTTCTTCTCAAGTGCACATGGAACATTCTCCAGGATAGATCACATCTTGGTTCACAAATCAAGCCTTGGTAAATTTAAGAAAATTGAAATCATATCAAGCATCTTTTCTGACCACAACGCTATGAGATTAGAAATGAATTACAGGGGAAAAAAAAACCCCGTAAAAATCAAAAACACATGGAGGCTAAACAATACATTACTAAATAACCAAGATATCACTGAAGAAATCAAAGAGGAAATCAAGAAATACCTAGAGACAAATGACAGCAAAAACATGACGGTCCAAAACCTATGGGAAGTAGCAAGAGCAGTTCTAAGACGGAAGTTTATAGCAATACAATCCTACCTCAAGAAACAAGAAAAATCTCAAATAAACAATCTAACCTTACACCTAAAGGAACTATAGAAAGAAAAACAAACAAAACTCAAAGTTAGTAGAAGGAAAGAAATCATAAAGATCAAAGCAGAAATAAAAGGAATAGGAACAAAGAAAACAGTATCAAAGATCAATAAAATTAAAAGCTGGTTCTTTGAGAAGATAAACAAAATTGATAAACCTTTAGCCAAACTCATCAAGAAAAAGAGAGAGAGGACTCAAATCAATAAAATTAGAAATGAAAAGGGAGAAATTACAATGGACACCGGAGAAATACAAAGCATCGTAGGAGACTACTACAAGGAACTCTATGCCAATAAAATGGACAACCTGAAAGAAATGGCCCAATTCTTAGAAAGGTAACCTTCCAAGACCGAAGCAGGAAGAAATAGAAAACATGAACAGACCAATCACAAGTAATGAAATTGAAACTGTGATTAAAAATCTTCCAACAAACTAAAGTCCAGGACCAGATGGCTTCACAGGGGAATTCTATCAAACATTTAGAGAAGAGCTAACACCTATCCTTCTCAAACTCTTCAAAAAACTGCAGAGGAAGGAACACTACGAAACTCATTCTATGAGGTCATCATCACCCTGATACCAAAACCAGACAAAGATACCACAAAAAAAGAAAATTACAGACCAATATCAGTGATGAATATAGACGCAAAAATCCTCAACAAAATACTAGCAAACAAAATCCAAAAACACATTAAAAGGATCATACACCATGATCAAATAGGACTTAGCCCAGGGATGCAAGGATTCTTCAACATATGCAAATCAATCAATGTGATACACCATATTAACAAACTGAAGAATAAAAACCATGTGGTCTTCTCAATAGATGCAGAAAAAGCTTTTGACAAAAATCAACACCCATTTCTGATAAAAACTCTCCAGAAAGTGGGCATAGAGGGAAGCTACCTCAACATAATAGAAGCCATATGTGACAAACCCACAGCAAATATCATTCTCAATGATGAAAAACTGAAAGCATTTCCTCTAAGATCAGGAAATAGACAAGGATGTCCACTTTTGCCACCATTATTCAACATAGTTTTGGAAGTCCTAGCCATGGCAATCAGAGAAGAAAAAGAAATAAAAGGAATACAAGTTGGAAAAGAAAAAGTAAAACTGTCACTGTTTGCAGATGACATGATACTACACATAGATAATCCTAAAGATGCCACCAGAAAACTAATAGAGCTAATCAATGAATCTGGTAAAGTTGCAGGATACAAACTTAATGCACAGAAATCTCTTGCATTACTATACACTAACAACAAAAGATCAGAAATAGAAATTAAGGAAAAGATCCCATTCACCACTGTAACAAAAAGAATAAAATACCTAGGAATAAACCTACCTAAGGAGGTAAAAGACCTGTACTCAGAAAACTATAAGACACTGATGAGAGAAATCAAAGATGACACAAACAGACGGACAGATATACCATGTTCTTGGATTGGAAGAATCAACATTGTGAAAAAGACTATACTACCCAAAGCAGTCTACAGATTCAATGCAATCCCTATCAAATTACCAATGGCATTTTTTAAAGAACCAAAACAAAAAGTGTTAAAATTTGTATGGAGACACAAAAGACCCTGAATAGCCAATGCAGACTTGAGGGGAAAAAACGGAGCTGGAGGGATCAGGCTCCCTGACTTCAGACTATACCACAAAGCTACAGTCATCAAGACAGTATGGTACTGGCACAAAAAAAAGAAATATAGATCAATGGAACAGGATAGAAAGCCCAGAAATAAACCCATGCACCTATGGTCAATTAAGCTGTGATAAAGGAGGCAAGAATATACAGTGGAGAAAAGACAGTCTCTTCAATAAGTGGTGCTGGGAAAACTGGACAGCTTCATGTAAAATGAAATTAGAACACTCCCTAACACCATATACAAAAATAAACTCAAAATGGATTAAAGACCTAAATTAAGACTGGACACCATAAAACTCTTAGAGGAAAACATACGAAGAACACTCTCTGACATAAGTCACAGCAAGAACCTTTTGACCCACCTCCTAGAGTAATGGAAATAAAAACAAAAATAAACAAATGGGACCTAATGAAACTTAAAAGCTTTTGCACAGCAAAGGAAACTATAAGTAAGACAAAAGACAGCCCTCAGAATGGGAGAAAATATTTGTAAATGAATTAATGGACAAAGGATTAATCTCCAAACTATATAAAAAGCTCATGCAGCTCAATATAAAAAACAAACAAACAACCCAATCAAAAAATGGGCAGAAGACCTAAATAGACAATTCTCCAAAGAAGACATACAAATGGCCACAGGCACATGAAAAGCTGCGCAACATCACGAATTATTAGAGAAATGCAAATCAAAACTACAACGAGTTATCACCTCACACCCGTTAGAAAGGGCATCATCAGAAAATCTACAAACAACAAATGCTGGAGAGGGTGTGGAGAAAAGGGAACCCTCTTGCACTGTTGGTGGGAATGTAAACTGATACAGCCCCTATGGAGGACAGCCTTAAAAAACTAAAAGCAGAATTACCATATGACCCAGCAATCCCACTACTGGGCATATACCCAGAGAAAACCATAATTCAAAAAGAGTCATGTACCCCAATGTTCATTGCAGCACTATTTACAACACCCAGGTCATGGAAGCAACCTAAATGCCCATCGACAGACGAATGGATAAAGCAGATGTGGTACGTGTATACAATGGAATATTACTCAGCCATAAAAAGGAATGAAATTGGGTCATTTGTAGAGACGTGGATGGACCTAGAGAGTGTCATAGGGAGTGAAGCAAGACAGAAAGGGAAAAACAAATACCGTATATTAACGCATATATATGGAATCTAGAAAAATGGCACCGATGAACCGGTTTGCAAGGCAGAAATAGAGACACAGATGTAGAGAACCAACGTATGGACACCAAGGGGGGAAAGCGGGGTGGGGAGGGGGGTGGTCGTGGTGGCGGGATGAATTGGAAGATTGGGATTGACATATATACACTAATATGTATAAAACAGAGAACTAATAAGAACCTGCTATATAAAAAACAAATAAATAAAATTAAATTCAAAAATAAAATCAAATTTTTCCCAATACTGGGAAAAAAAAAAGAGGATGTGGTATATATATACAATGGAATATTAGTCATAAAAAAGAATGAAATATTGCTATTTGCAGCAAGATGGATGGACCTAGAGAATATCACACTAAGTTAAGTAAGTCAGAGAGAGAAAGACAAATATTATATCACTTATATGTGGAATCTAAAAAATAATAGAAATGAATCTATATAAAAAATAGAAACAGACTCACAGACATAGGAAACAAACTTATGGTTACCAAATGGGAAAGGGAAGGGGGTGAGGGATAAATCAGGAGTACAGATTAACAAACTACTGTATGTAAAATAGATACACAACAAGCATTTACTATATAACGTATGGAAATACATTCAATATCTTGTAATAACCTATAATGGAAAATAATCTGAAAAAATTCTATATGTATAACTGAATCACTTTGCTGTACACCTGAAACGAACACAATATTGTACATCAACTATACTTCAGTTTAAAAAAAGAAGATTCACATTAATAAGCCATGCTAAGTAAAAGTGAAATATTCAGGCATTACAACTAAAATGTGCTACTGTTCAGTATTAACAAGAAATTCCCTCTAATCACCACCAATAAGGGCCGAGAGAAAGAAAATAATCCCCATTAACATAAAGTCTCTTACCTTCCATACTGGTTCTCCAGTGCTGTTTTTAATATGAGGCACATTAAAATTCAACATACGTTTCAAAGCCACTGGAAATGAAAACAGTCTTATTAAATATTACCAATGTTTTTAGGATTTCACTTTTCCACCACACTTATTACTTATTACCTCAAAACAAAATGCACAAATCACTCTAGTAAAACTGATTAATCAATATTAATGCATATGTAGAAGTAGGGTCAGACTTTGTAAGACAGTTTCATCAACAACTAAAGGGATATTGTCTGGGAGATTTTCTAATTTAACCATCTTTGCCCAGATTAAAATGTGAAAAATGTTCAGGAAGAAGCCTTTTCCATGTCTCCTGATGATACCACACTACGTTTTATATAGATGCAAAAAGAAATCGTCAATCACGACCTTGCAGTGGCCTCGATAGATAACTGGTGCTGTTGTCTATTTACTGTGTGGCTGAAAGCATAGATTTTTAAGTTTTTCTAAAAACAAAAATCCTCTATGATATATTTAACTGGTTCATATTTAAATAGTTTAAAACCTAAATACAGCAGATCTATTTTTTAGTTATCCTGGAGTGCATTCTACGGCCAATTATCCTGTCAGATTCACTAGTGAGACTTTCCTATAGATGTGGTACATAACTGATAACTCCTGCTTAAAAAATACACAATTCTATAATCATAGCAGTTACGCTCTATGTCTTATAGTATTTTGTGGTTTTTACTGCTCATCTGTTCATGTGTTACAGAAGACTCAGAAATATTTTCTAAGGGAAATAAAAATCTTGATACACTTTTATGTGAAGTTGAGATGGCCAAATATTCAAGGGAGGGTAGTAGTTATCTGATTAATGTTTAAATGATTGGTAATCCTAAAATCTACTTGGTTGTTTTTTTGTTGTTGTTGTTGTGGTTGTTTTGCGTTACGCGGGCCTCTCACTGCTGTGGTCTCTCCCGTTGCGGAGCACAGGCTCCGGACGCGCAGGCTCAGCAGCCATGGCTCACGGGCCCAGCCGCTCCGCGGCATGTGGGATCCTCCCGGACCGGGGCACGAACCCGTGTCCCCTGAATTGGCAGGCGGACTCCCAACCACTGTGCCACCAGGGAAGCCCCCTTGGTTGATTTTTAAAAAGCATTTGGATTACGTTTTATTAAGTAATACAGAATAATCTACAAGCTAAACACCTACCAGAGAAGATTATAATACTCAAATCACCTGCGTATCAATTTACAGCATATTCACTCACTAGAAAAACTTCTATTAAATGCTTATTTCTTGAAGCAGATTAAAATAATAAGAGATTGCACATCAGTAATATATTTATATATACATAGAGATACGGAGGTGATTTGTTGGTAAAATGTTAGTACCTAATGTCCAGCCAATTATATACATCGCCCAGGGCTTCCCTGGTGGCGCAGTGGTTGAGCGTCCGCCTGCCGATGCTGGGGACACGGATTCGTGCCTGAGTCCGGGAAGATCCCACATGCCGCGGAGCAGCTGGGCCCATGAGCCATGGCCACTGAGCCTGCGCATCCAGAGCCTGTGCTCCGCAACGGGAGAGGCCACAACAGTGAGAGGCCCGCGTACCGCAAAAAAAAAAAAAAATATATATATATATATATATATACACTTCGCCCATAATTTAGACCTACTTCAGAAGCTCACAGATATTACAATAGTTCACAGAGGACACCTAGGAAGAATCACAGCCTGTGGTGCATATGAGTTCCAGGTACATGGTGCTCTCCAGAGCTTCGCTAACTGAAAGAAGCCCATATCAGCAGATATTCCCACGTTTGCCTTCTCAGCTCCATCTTGGTGAATTTCCCCACTTCTGAGCCTTGGCTAACTTGTTAACAGGGATTCTGACACAATGGATTTGTTAATAAAGTACATGGCCTAAGACTCAATTGTGATTTATTTCCCAAAACATTCTCAATAGGCATCAGGGAAATGTTTACTTGTCCTACTATAGCACATAGTTTACCTTTCTCTCAAAGTAAGACAGAACTCAACTGGAGTACTAATTTGATAAACCTGGCATAACCTATGGAGTAATGATGTGAAATCTTGCTACAATGAAGTTTATTTCTGCAGAAATCCATATTATACTACTAGACTTTAACATTCTACAAAGTTTCTGCATATAAAAATTACCATCCAAATTTCATTTTTCAGAAAGCTCCTTTGTATTGGTACAGAGTCTCCCTTAACATGTTTTTATTTTAATATGTAGTATGACCTAATTCACTGAGGTTCATTAAGCTGTCAGAACCATACTGCAAAGACAAGTGGGGCTTCTATTTGCTTACACAGATAAAATGAATGGCAGTTATTTCCCAAATTTTATTTGGACTTTCATATATTTAAGTTACACCTGACTTCATCTGATAGCTTACACTACATTATCTATTGGGGAAATGCAGAACACAACTCATTATGCACTGTGTCGTTAGTAGATTGAAGTCTATCATTAATTTTTCTTTGAATTATTGCAAAGGAAAGAATCAAGTACAGCCAAAATCCTTTCTGTAGGTCATATTAATTATAACCAGTTATATTCCTATTCCGATTTATATGCAAAAGAACATAATTAAAAGAGACAGAACTTCCAAATATGCAAATTCTTAATGGCTTATCTCTATTAGCTTCTCAGAATTAATAGTATGCCAACTTTCAAGACAATTAGCTAACAGGTATAAACCAAGTTGCCATCAGAAGTTTCCAAAAAATAAGGCAAAACTAAAATTATCTAAGGTGGAAAAAATATCAAAGCTCAAGGGAAAGAATATGTATTTTTTAAAACCATACTTCACGGTATAAATGGAAGCTATATAACCATGCTCTGTTAAACATGAAACTAATTTGCCAAATAATTAAAATGGGAAAGGTATTAATTCATTCGTTTTGCCATTCTTATATCCCATTCCCGCATGCTGAAGACGGAAATCTTTATCACAAGGCGTTTCTCTTCAGGTACCCCCAAAGACTGGTCCACAGGAGACAAATGGCAGAATGTAATCTGCTCTGAAAAGAGCATCTAAATTTGTAACTGTGGTGTAAGTGCCGAAAATGAAACTCTCAACATTAAAATGGGAGAGAACTTAACCACGCGCAGAAACAAACCCGAAGACCTCGTAAGTGGCAAGGGCTGGAAATGCCAGGTGTCAGATCTGGTCGCCATGGCCTTTTGAGGCCCAGTAGGAAAGAGACAAGAGCAGGACCGCGGCAACCCGCTCACCCCTGAAGCCCCTTCTCTGGCACATCTGAGAGCCGAGTTCTCAAGCTAATAGCATCTCTTCCCTAAAAACTCAAAAGGGGAAGGTCTCTCGATGGTCTGAGAACGGGATTAAGCTATTGGAGGTCCGTCTCCGAACTGCACGCACCGCGACCGAGTGAGGGCGACAAGAAGAGGAATATGTCCTCACGGCAAGCACAAAACCGCAGGAAAGAGAAGGGAATAAGCCGGTACCTGTTTGTCTCTCTCGAATACTGGCTGCTGCGGCCGCCGCCATCTTGGCTCCCACCATACACTGCCCGGCTGGAGAGCGGAGCCCGATCATGACGTGGCCGCCCCGACCGCCCCGGAAGCAAAAGTCGGAGGGGCGGGACCATAGAAAGCCGAACCCCGCCTCCTCCAGGGTGACCCTCCCATTCTCTCAGCTCTCTCCACAAAACTTAGAGACCCAACGTGGGAATAATACCCGAACACCTGGCAGTGTTTACTTTCCAGCGGCGTAATAGTAGGAATTTTTATCCTGTCTAATCAAGCCACAGCTTCTCAAAGGGTAGCTGCTTTAAAGTGAGCTCTTTAGGGCAGGAGCGTGTTGTAGTGCTAAGAACCTAAATACTGAACTGTTAGTTTGGTCGTCTACAGATCTCTTGTGGTGATAATAATCTAGGAGCTTAAGGATCACAGGACTAAAGTAAATGAAGCTCCTGGAACAAAATTGGCACTTCAATGCTAGCTCCCTTTTCTGTTTCCCCAGTGCAGCAGGAGGGGTCTCCCGTTTGCTCCTTTTCTGGGAAACAAGCAGCTTCGGAGCATTGCTCTAATCAGGCAGGTTTCTTAATCTCATCTGTTAGGCAAAATGGTCTAGCTGCATGGGGTTGTTTTGCCTACATGGACACAGAAGCCAGGAAGGCGCAAAATGGCAGTTTGTATTTTCCTCCTTTTAGTAACTGCAAAATCACAAAACATTACTTTGGCAGGGGGTGTAAGTGGATAGTGCAGGTGTCTTAATGTACACTTAAAGCCATATGATGACAAAATGTATCCAATATTAATGATTTCTAATTTAATCCATAGATTTTTTTACTGGATGTCAAAAATGGACACAACTCATTTCCCGTATGGTCAACAGAGTTCACTTAGGATATTGCATTAGTTATTGAATATGTTCATTCTGAAGCTTCACCAAATTCTGAAATGAAATTAGAGACCCTGTGCCTCAAAAACTGGTTTGAAAACTTAACTTTTCGAATTTATGAGAAATTAAGTTACCCCAACGATTACATAAAGAGCAAAATTTTTAAACAAAACACAAAAGTTTATTTTTATGAAACTTGACAGGTGATCTCATTCTTAATGCCATTAGGGAACACCCTAGAACTGGACCTACATTCTTTTTTTTCCTTCTGTAAATTTTTTTCACCTTTTTTGAGGGTATAATTGATAAATTTGGCAACATATCTGAAACGTACATTGTGATGATATGATATATATGTATACATTGTGAAAGAATTCCCCCCACTTATTTACCACATCTATCATCTCACATATATATTTATTTTTTGGTGAAAACTTTTGAGTTCTACTCTCTTAGCATATTTCAATTATACAGTACAGTTAACTACAGTCACGTTATATATTAGATCCTCAGACCATACTCATTTTATAGCTGATTTTTTACTGCTTCCTATATGTGGAATAAAAAAAAGAAAACTGGAATCACCAATGAACTAGGTGTGTTGCGATTAAACAGAAATGACAGTTCCTGCCCTTTGGGAAAGTTCTACTTAATTTTTTGTCTTCATGGAATATAAAATAAACAGGCTTTCCCACTGTCAACATCTGAGAGCCCAATCTTGTTCATTTGTTTACTTCTACTTTCAAATGCAAATCTACCTAACCATTTCAGAGCTCCAGCATAGACCTCCCAAAATATATGACTCATATGACATAGAACACTAAGGCATGTTTAACATTTGTGTACAGTATATACATTTGAAATGATAAAAACTGTCCTGACCAAGGAGTGCACACAGTGTGGGCAAACAAATGTATAGGAAATATATGTCCCACAGAACAGTGGCAGTAAACAAACAGTCCCTGTAATGCTAAGACTGAGTAAGGTATTTGTAATGTGTTTTTAGAATAAGGAAAGAATTAAACTATGGCTGTTAGAGTGTTAGTTAACCTAACTTTTTTAGTGGTTTAACTGACTCTACCTATCCAGATGTTGGGCTAAAATAATATAATTATTCTGGCAAACTATAATTTTACATTAGGGGATAGATAGTTTTAACAGAGAATACCTCAGAACAGCTCATTCAAGAGAGGTTCCTACCTGTCAGCCGATAATTGCTTGCAGGATCTCTCAAATGGGGAAAGGATCTATTATCTACACAGTATTGTCAGAATTTTAACCTTGTTAAATCCTAACAAGTTACTTGATTTAGTTTATATAAGCACTTCACATTTAGTAGCAGAAACACATTTATTTAGAAAACTTCATTATAAGTGTCATTTTTTTTTGTTGTATCTGAAGTCTTTAAAAAAAGGGAAACTAGGCTGACATAAACTATCACCTAACATAATACCTGGCATACAGTAGATATTGGAATATGTTTGGCAATTTGAAAAGATAACAGTCAAAATGAGAACTTTAAAATAGGATTTCTTCAAAGCAATGCAAATTTTCCTAAACTATATGTAATACACATTCAAGTAATCCATCAATGTGTTTTTATGCTTTACATTGCATCACGTAGAGCATAAAACTAGTTTAATAGCTTATTGTAAAATTAGCAACAAAGCTGTGATAAGCACTATATATAAGAATTACACACTTATAAATAGAATCTTGTTCTAATCATTTTCTTATAATGACTGAATGTAAAAGGCAAAGTCACGGAGAAAACTTACCTATTATATTACACTCTCCTTTACTGCACATTTAGCATTGAGTACAAAAGTTCCAAGAGCTTCCATATAATTAGGGGAAAAAATTGTAAGAAGTTTGGAATAAAGCAGAAGCCAAAATAAATTCTCAAGTTAGTAATCAAATGAAAGCTTTTTACTTCACCCAAACAAATAATGACTAATTTGTAATACGGAAATTAAATATTACAAAGTATAAAGTCATGAGCTAGTTTCTGATATTTTAAAGAATCTTTACCTTAAATACTAAAATAGTAAAATGACTAAGTACAAGAATAGTAGAGAATTGCATAAATGCCTCCAGATGAAGTTCTCACACCAAAAAATTTAAAATTATTAAAAAAAAATGAATATAAAACTAACCTAAGACCATTAACAGTAGATGCATACAAGGCGAATTTATGCTTTTTCTTGATAATGAGAGTAACAGAAAACAAACTTCAAATATATGTCATTTAGACAATTGAAATATTTAAGAAATACATATACACATTTATAAAGGTTTATAGCATAATTCCTTTTTAAAATCAATGTCAGTAGGAACTATGCATTGGCTATAACAATGAACAGAAAAAGAACAAACATAATACCAACCATTTGACATAGTAACAATGCAGAAAATAACCTATGTCAGGTTTCTCTGACGTATCTTGACTGTAAAGATTAATCTAAAATCATACTGATGGAACATTCTTAAAGCCAGAAAATATTTTGCAATATGAATATTTATACTTCACTTTAAAACGTGAATATACTAAGTTATTTACATCACTTTATCCCTAAGGCCCTGTCTACACATAAAAGAATTGAAACACTGTTTTTAATTGTAGCTAACCCAAGCACACTGCCTCCCCACCAGCCCTCCCCACCCAAAAAGCATGTGAGTTTTAACAGCTTTAATTACCACTGTAATTAAATGAATTCAAACTACAAATAACCAGAAAATAGCTTTAATTAGGTTTTCTGGTTTGTATTGGTTTAATGGCTTTTAAAATTTTATAAAAACTAGGTAGGTTAAGAAATAAAATATCCAGTTTATCAACACATTTGGAATAAAAGCTGTATGGTGAGGTTAAACCTCTTTTTTGATAATTGCTCCTTTAATTACTTTTGATAATTTAACAGAATTCAACACAAGACAAAGAAATGCCTTGTTTAATGTTTTAAAACCTTCATGTTAAAGTTAAACTTTAATTTGCTGGGTCTGTTAGAAAATGTAACAAAATTTTACTAGGATTATGTTTTAGTTTTCCTTTGGTATTAATAACAGATTAATTACCAGTATCAAACCAATCCTGTCATTTGTCTTTAAAAATATCAATAATTTAAGGATGCTTCTTGGAGAGGATGAGAATATGGCTGATACCTGCTTTATGTAGCAAGAAAAATGTGCTTAAAACCAAGCATTTTACCTCTCATACGATTTATTCTGGTGAAAAACCCATTTATATTTGATAACAGATTAGGAACATTAGACTTTTCCAGTTTCTTCTTTTGCAAGAGTACAAATATGGTGACACAACTATGGGATTAGGTATCTTCAAATTGTTATTACATAATCTCTTGTTACTTCTAGGTATTCTTTGACTTTTAGTAGCATTAATAAAGTTTAAAAAAGGAAATGGAAGAGTTTATAGAAGGATAACAGTTAATTCTGCATGGTTGAGATTAGAGTGGGTTTTTCATTCTATTTGTAATTCTTTCTTACACATTTCTACATTGTTTATATAACAGGTACCTTTCAAAAGCAAAGAAGATAACTATATAATGCAATGGTGCCAGCTTACCTTTCATACAACCATCTTGATAATAAATAACTGTCAAATAGCCAAACCTACCAAATGGCAATCCACAGAGATCATTCTATTCAGATAACCTAAAATGTGGATCAGACATAATGTGGTCTAATACCACACATGGGAGACATGAAAAAAAAAAAATCCTATGATTAAAGCCAAAGGCTTTAAAGAAGACACTTACTTAGGGATTTTCAACTGTATTTTAATCCACCTCAGAAGTGTTTTAAGACTATGGAATGTCCATAGATTCTAGAATATTTGTGCAATTCTGCTTTTTAATATAATACTTCCCTTTAGGCATAATCTAATTGCAGTGTGGATCTATTTTAACATAACTTAATAATCTAAAAACATTTTTAACTAATTTAGTGCCATCCCAGAAAAGGATACATATAACACACCCCCCAAAATATAACTTTGATTTATACAACAAGATTTATCATTTAGCTTTCCTATTTAATGCTTTAAAATAAAATAAGTAATAATTTGAAAATTGAATAAAACTAGAAAAATCACTGTGGCATCCTATAGCTAATCCCAATTTACAAAAACAGTGAGTACAAGTTTTCTTATTATATATAGCATGCTACTATAGTTGAAGAAAGTCTGTACAGCCATTCTAAAAGTATTTGTATTGAGGTTTATGAAGCATGTATATTAAGAAAATAGAAAAGTATCAACTTTGGTACACCTTAACAAAAAAACTTTTTAGCTTAAGTGGCCAAAATATTCCTTTATGTTCATATCATATATTTTATTGGGCCAAGTTTGCTCAAAAGTGATGACGGACAGATTTCTGAAACAAAAAGTATCAACAGCAGCTTTTAAAGAAGCATCTCTTTGTTCAAAACAGTTAATGTCCAATGAAGTGAGAATTTTCTTCCTTTTCTAATCTTAGAGTGTTTTTTATGGCAAAGTCCATATTTTCTTGAAATTCTTTATAGGTACTGGTGATAGGAAGAGCTAAGCAGTTATTACACTTGTTTCCAACAGGAAAATCCATATGAAGGCACTCAATTGATGGAGTGGGTTTAAATCCAGCAGGTGGAATGGAACTGCAACCAGTAGCAAAAATAAGAATGTCTTCCATTGTTACTGTAGATTTACCATCTGAAAAGAATACCAAAAAAGGAAAAAAAGAAAAAAATCCATGTTATATATTGCTACCATCATAGACTCTTCCCCAACTAGACTAGACATGTTGAAAAGCAGAGACACCCACATTAACAGAGATGCATAAGAGGAAAACTAAATCACTAAGTGTAGTAATAGGAAAATGGTATATTGAATACATGTTTATTTGAATTTCAAAGTAGGACTCATAGAATAATTTGGTTGACCTACTCACTGTATATTTAAATGTCTTCCTTAATATAAAATTATCATATAGTCCAAGAGGTTCAGTAGGTTTTGAAACTTGATCTTTCGGGGATATGATCCTACAAACAATTTTAAACCAATTCTAGACCATTGCTATTTGATAAACTATTTCAACAAAGGAAAAACTAAGATGGTATAAAACATCCAAACAACCTAGCTAAAAAATTTTCAACTAAAAGTTAAATTGTTTTACAACATATTAAACAGAATGAATTTACATTGCTAAGGCTCAATGATAAATATCATTACCATGCTCTGATCAATGGATGAGGAATAATTCAATTTAACTTAAAATTTAAAAAGGTGAAGTAAATGACTAGCTTTGAGACTATCCTGTGCTGTGGCAATCACCCGTATATTTAAAGTTTTCTAGGAAGAATGCCTCTCACTTCAAATTACCTAGAGGAAAACAACCGAAAAATATAACTTTACTATGTAACCTTTCCTATCACTTTCAACTCAGTCATATAAACTTGTTTTGAAACAAGTTTTGTAAATAAGTAGTTAGATTAAAGTCTTACTATAAAAAGCAAAACTCAAAGAAATAAATATCCCAAAACAAAATTTCTACGACAGTTAAATAAAAATAAAACATCTACATACCCTCAACAGCCTGTAAGTAACTGTTCCAAAACCCCAAAGCCTGTACGTCAGATAATGTGTGTACTGTAAAAAGATCACTAAGAATTTTTGTGGAAAGATTCTCAGGTTTATGACAGAAGATGTCACAAAATGCTTCTGGATAAGTCTGAATTTTCTCCAAAACACCAAGAGTTCTCAGACCCTGTTTAAAACTTAAGAGAAGAAAAACAATGAGCCAACATTCATACACATGTGTTTGGAATGAACATTTCTAGCTAATTTACTATCACATATATGTGTGAAAAAGACAGAAAAAAAAAGATGTGGGAAAAAAAAGGTGAGGAAAAACAAAGAAAAATATGGATACACTTTATGTGATATGGTATTTTCAAATCAATAACAAGCAAATGTATTAATATAAAATGAATATTTTCCATGCCTACATTATTTGGCTTTATGCAATAGTTTTAAAATTAAGCTAACAATTTTTTATTAAGAGGAAAAAAGTAGATATCTAAAATTTTACACTTCAAAGCTAGTTAGTATAAAATGAAAGACTGCAAAGAAAAAGAATCATAAACTTGAGCCACATAAAAATTTTAAACTTATGTATTGCTAAAAAGAAATTAACAAAGACAAAACAAAGTGGGAAAATATTGATACATGATAGAACACTAATTTCTCTAATATAACAAAAATACAAATCATTTTCTAAAAGAACTCAACAGGAAATACAAAATATGAATGCATCATTAAGAAAATACAAGTAACAAATGAATTTTTAAAAATGCACATTCTCACTAATAAGCAAAGAATGAAGAAGATACCATTTTTGCCTACCAGACTGACTAACCCTAACTGTGGCTCTGGATTCCCTATCCACGTCCTCAGGTACCCTGCTACACTGACTCATCTTCCCTTCTATTAGCTCTTCCTCAAGAGCACAAAAATATGCTTATCTTTCCCATCTTTGAATAAAGGAAAAAATTCACTCAATCCCATCTGCTTTCCTTTGAGACAACCTATGTGAAAAACTTACCTACATTTACTGTCTCCTTTTCTTAATTTCCTATTCACTTTCCCTCCACTCCTTTCTACATCTCAGGAATAACTGCCCTAAGTGCATGAATGATGTATGGGATCAGTCTCCTGGTTTCCCCTTATATCTCTGGCCAAACCTTCCGAGTCTCTTACAAAGCTTATTCTTTCTTTGCTTTGCCTTAAATGCTACTGTTTGTCCCTCATGGATCTGTAACAAGGCAAATTTCTCTTTTTTCTTACCATATCCCATGGCTTTATTTAAGCAGGTTTATGTTCATTAACTATAAAATCTATTATTTCAGCCCAGAATATATACCCAACAGACTGCTGGGTACCACATATTCCAAGCACCCAAACTTATTAAGTCCAAAAGAAAGCTAATTATCTTACTACCAAAATCAGAACCGTAAGTGACAACAAATGCCTCCATTATTCACCCTATTAGTACAGCTAAATCTGAAAGTCATTCTTAACTCTTCCCTCTGCCACTCCTAATTACAAATCCTATGAATTTCCTTTTTTGAAATCCCTTTTATCTGCTCATTTCTCCATATACCAGTGGAACTGTTGTACCAGGTATGTAAGCTTCCAAGTTGATTTTCCATGTAAACCCCCATACTGTCATTCATCCTTAGGTATGTTGGATGGAGGCCCCCAAAAGATATGTCCACATCCTATTCCCTGGAACCTGTGAATGTGATCTTAGTTGGAAAAAGGGTCCAGGCAGATGTAATTAAGTTAATGATCTTGAAATCATTCTACCTAGGTTATCTGGGCTCACCCTAAGTCCAATGACAACTGTCTTTATAAAAGATAGAGAGGAAAAGGCCATGTGATATAGATTCAGAGATTGGAGTTATGCAACCACAAGCCACCAGAAGCTAAAAGAAGCAAAGAATGGATTCTCTTCCTAAACTCCCAGAAAGAATGAAGCCCTGCCAACACCGACACTTTGGACTTCTAGCCTCCAAAAATATGGGAGAATAAATTTCTTTTGTTTTGAGCCACTCAGTTTGTGATAATTTTTTACAACTGCCATAGGAAACTAATAATACACACTCTGCACATGAAATAAAGTCCAAACTCCTTAACATGGCTTTTAAGGTCCTCCACAATACAATTGCTGCCTTTCTTGCTTGCTTTTAACTTTCACCTTACACCTACCTTTGAAGCAAATTTCAGCCAAACTTAAGTTCACCTTTATAATTTTACTTTTAATTAAAATGAAATATTTCAAGCTTATATAAAAATCCAGGAAATAACAGAAAACCATGACTGCAAACTTGATTTTGAAAGACATTAACATTTTATGTTTGCTCAGATTATTTTTAAGAAAATATTCTATTCACTCAACTAAATCTGCCCATTCATCAGTTTCCCTTCTCTCCTTTTACAAAGAAAACTATCTGAAACTGCTATTTACCTATTCTGAAATTTTTACTATAGCCTGCATTTCATTTTAGTTTCACTATATATGTATCCCTAAAAAATAACTAGTATTGGTTTGCTTGTTTTGAAACTTTCCAATAATGGTACCATACTGTATACTTATTTTTCTGCAATTTGCTTTTTTGAGAGTAATTTTTTCTAATTGTTATATAGTAATAGTTATTACTACATTTAGGAAACTAGTTCTGTCACTTTATTTTGGGCAACTGTACTGAATTACAAAAAAATTTTTTATTCCTTCCTGCCGATTTTTGTATTTTTAAAACAAAATTCCAATTTACCTTCTATTTAAAAAGTTATACTAATTCTTATTTTTTAAATGGTTACCTCAAAATTTTAATCGGCATATTTGAAATCTAAAGTGAATCAGGTATTTACCCTCTTCCTGAACAATACAAAGACCTTAGAACACTTGCAACTCTGGTAGCTCTCTCTTCCTATGCTACTTAAACATTTTGTTCCACCTTGTATCATAAATCCCCAAAGTAAACATTAATTTTTTGTACAATCAGTGTTTACTCTAAAATTAACAAATTTCTTTCGTTACCATTCCTTCTCACTTGCACACCTCCCTGTTAGTGTCCTTTACCTCTTGTAACCTTGCTACACTCTTTACAGAAGCAGTTCTAAGATTATTTTAGTTGGACAGTCATCTAGACTACCAATGATAATTTTAATTCTTCCAATCCTTAATAACACTCACTTATTCATTTAGTCTTGTTGCTCTACTAGGACCTCCAGCATATTGTAGAAATGAAGGGGGTAATTATATGTATCCCAGGCTTGTCATGGCCTTAAGAGGAACGTCTATCACACTTCATTAAGGATAATGTTTGCTGAATCTTTACTAGCTAATCTTTATAAGGATATTTCAAATTGTTAGCTTAAAATTATGTATAAATGTTTAAATGTAGCAATTGCTTTTTTTGCATGTATAACTGTATGAAGATTGTTTGATTTTTCTCTTTTAATCTATTAGTGGAGTGCACTAAAGCAAGATTTTTTTTTTTTGATGTTCTACCTGCCTTGCTTCCTTTCATAAACAGTCCTCAGAACTGTTAGTAAATTTTGAGGCCATGTTGCTAGATACAAATATATTCAAGACTGCTGAATCCTAAAGAATTTGTTCTTTTTAACACTATTAGGGTCATTTAAGGACAAGGCTTTTTAAAAAGATTATTAGAATTTCTTTCTCTCTTTTTTTGCTTTAAAGTCATTTATTTGCAATGCAATTTAAGATCCTCTGTTTTTTAAATACGAATATAAGCTATTTACATGTAATATAATTACCTATATGTTTTCTATCTTATGTTTTCTTTGAGCATGTGTTTTCCCTTGCTTGTTTTCATCCCTCTTTTTCTGTTCACTATATGATTAAATATGTTTTCTTTATTTCTATCCCCACCCCCATCAAACTGGTTTGGAAGTTACACACTCTATTCCTGTTATTTTAGAGTTTTCCCTTAAAATATACATACTTGGCTTAACAATCTTAAGGTAATTAATGCTTCCCCACTACTACCTCAAGAATACAAGTTCCTTAAAACAATAAATACAATGTCCATTCTCTTCTTACAGATGAACCTTTAGCTAGTATTTTAATTATTTTAACCATTTCTTACCAAAATTTAGTTGTCTTTTAAATGGCCAATGCTTGTTTTTATTTATTCAGGTTTTTTCATTTCTTTGCTTACTCCTGGTGCTTGTATCTTACTTTTTCCTTCTGGGTTCAATTTCTTTCTTCCTTAAGTAGGTATTTTATTAATCTCTCCAGGAAAGAAGTAAACCTGTCTCAAAATGTCTTTATTTCCTCCTCTCTCTTGAATGATAACGTAACTAGCTCTGTGAAGTTACTATCTTGGCTGTCTGTTTTCAACGTTGATGTCACTGAAAAAAAGGCGTCCAATATAATTGATGCTCATTTTTACAATAATGTCTTTTTGCTCAGAACACAATTTCATCACAAAGTACACTATACTTCAGCATGTTAAGCCCTGTGAACCTGAAGAACTTCTCAAGCAGCATTTTCTATAATATTGCCCAGCCTCTGTCTCTTTTGTCAAATATATGTGTGGGTGCTCTTATTCTAACTTTCATGACATTTCTTGTTTCAGTCCTTTTTTCTCTCTTTCTCTTCAATGGCCTAGCATTTAACAACCACCAAGTTTCATTTCTATGATCATTTTTGTTTCTGTTTCGTTTTCCTTGTTTTTCTGTTGGTTGCTTATTTTTTTGGATTCCATTTTTATCTATAGTGTTTTGAGTGTATTTCTATGTGAAGATTTTTTTAAAAATGTAATAATTTACTGCTGCCAACATTTTATCAGTTCAAGTATAGAAACATTACTTCCCTTCATGTCCCTTTGCCTTTTGCTGTTTATAATTTCCTAAGTATTTCTTTTATATACATTATGAATCACATTAGAGACTGTTATAATTTTTGCCTCAGCCATCAAACATAATTTAGTAGACACAAGAGGAGACATGCTTTTATTCTTTTCATTATTCTTTCTTCCTTCCTGATGTTACAAGATTCTACCTTTAATAATTTGCTTTCTATTTCAAAAAATTCCCATAGGCATTCTTTTAGGGTAGATCTGCTGGTGACAAATCGTTTAGTTTTCCTTCAAATAAGAATGTCTAGACTTCTCTCAGCTGTGTCCTTGCTGAGATCCCCAGCTGGTCTGCTTTCATCTCTCTACCTCTCAAAAGTCTTCTTAAGTTTGTTTTATAAACACTGTTCAGGGTTTTTAACTGTGCTTATCAGGAAGGATAGAGAGAAGAGTGTCTATTCCACGTTATCCAGAACTGGAAGTCTATGATCATTTTTCAACTTAGAAGCACTATTTGATTCATTTCACATTTTATGTTTGGGTTTTTTTTTTCTTTTAAATCACTGTAATAACTTTTTATGTCTCAGTTTGTCCTGTTATTTAAATCCTTGATGTGCTATTCCCAATACTTGCTGTTTAGGATGGTTGTGTTTTGTCTTTTATTGGAACCTCCTCTTCTTTAGCAATGTAACTTTAGCATTCCCATCAGGCTCAGGCTGTAGAAATTTCCCTAAACACTGTTACGTATTTGCTTTTGCCTGGCACTCTGTAAGTACTACGAATCCTAAGACCAATTACTTTGTTAATGTCTTTGGTTCAGATTGGGGTCCATTCAGAATGCCAAACCCAAGTTTGGGGCAAACTGAGGGTTCTGATTTCATATGACATTTAGGGTACCATGGCTTTTTTGTTTTTAATAGATCTTTACTGGAGCATAATTACTTCACAATACTGTGTTAGTTTCTGTTGCACAACAAAGTGAATCAGCCATGTGCATACACATGTCCCCATATCCTCTCCCTCTTGAGCCTCCCTCCCATCCTCCTTATCCCACCCCTCTAGGTCATCTCAAAGCACTGAGCCAATCTCCCTGTACTATGCTGCAGCTTCCCACCAGCCAATTATTTTACATTCGGTAGTGTATATATGTCGATGCTACTCTCACTTCCCCCCAACTTCGCCCTCCTACCCCATGATGAACCTAGTTGCAGGGCAGGAATAAAGAGGTACTATGGCTCTTGATTTCCTTGTTATTTCTGACATCTACAGGACTCTTGAGCTTTAAAATATTGTTTTTTGCTATATGATTTATCTTTCACATAAAAGGAGGGATCAGTCTTCAGCTTCTTTTCTCTTGCCCTCTTCATCTTGATCTGCCTAACTCCTATTTATAAATCAGGGTTTAATTTAAACACCACTTATACAGATAGGGAAGCCTTTCCTGACAACTAGACTACTCATACCTATAAACACACACACACACACAAAATAAACAAACAGCAATGAATTATCTAACTTAGCAATGAGAAAAAATCCATCTGTAGACATATGAATTCCTTGGGAAAAAAATATTTTGTACATCTATGTCATTAAGAGATACATTTCAAATAAGTTTTTAAATAACTATCAAAATTTATAATATATTTGGATTATTCTATGTATTAATCATAATTATGAATGGTAATTCTAACTGTAAGAAAATTTTGCTATGTAAGAGTCTTATAGTCAGACACTGGATACATTTTAAACAGTTATGTAACAGTGTTACTTTAATTACAGTATTAAAAATACATTGGAGGGCTTCCCTGGTGGCTCAGTGGTTAAGAGTCCACCTGCCAATGCAGGGGACATGGGTTCGAGCCCTGGTCTGGGAAGATCCCACATTGCTGTGGAGTAGCTGGGCCTGTGTGCTACAACTGCTGAGCCTGTGTTCTAGAGCCCGCGAGCTACAACTGCCGAGCCCGTGCACAGCAACCACTGAGGCCCGCGCGCCTACAGCCCATGCTCCACAACAAAAGAAGCCACCGCAATGACAGGCCCGCACACTGCAACGAAGAGTAGCCCCCATTTGCCACAGCCAGAGAAAGCCCGCGTGCAGCAATGAGGACCCAATGCAGCCAAAAATAAATAAATAAATAAATTTATTTAAAATATATATATATATTGGAAATTATATCCTTTACAACTGTTTAAGCTTATGATATCATATTAAATTTTAATTTGGAAGAGTGCTTAAGTTCTGTAGAGCTCTAAAAAAGGAATGAGGACCATATACTGTCAAGTAAAAAATGAGGAGGAAAAAGGGTGGATGGTATGTTACTATTTATGTAATAAAAGAAATGAATATACACACACACATATACTCATATATTTATCTGCTATCAGTTAAAAAAAATAATGGAAGGATAAACAGTAAAAGCCACTAAAATAATTACTTCATAGGGGATGGAAGGTAGGTGTGATAAGGATGAAAGCTATACTTATCTTAATATAATCTGTATGACAGAACTGAGTCCTTTCAATGTACTATCATTATAGATTTGACTTTGGAATCATGCAAACATTTTATATAATTTTAAAATAAAATCAAACTTTAATAAAAGTCAATAAAAAGAAAAAATAAGATAAAAATGAAAATAAAATGTATACCCAGTTAGTAATATAACAACAAAGAAAATAACTATGCCAAATGACTTTAAAACACAGTAATTTGACTGCATAGCCCTAGAACAAAAAGAAATAGAAAAACAAGTTTAACCTATTTTCAATAGTGTTATGTTACTGATGATAATGTTGGCATTATCATTCTGTGACTATTATTTACGAAATGTGGATTAAATCAAGGAATTACTTCATGCTCTAATTCATCAATGTCTTTGAGAACTGGGATTATGAACATGGGACAAAGGAAAAGTCAAAAATCTTGTAGTAGTGAATCTGAAGTATCAGTAGAAACCTATGATGTATTTTATCTTAAAAAAATAAAAAAAAACCCAACAAAAAACCCCTATATTTCTTCTTTTAGTCCACTGAAAAGGCCTAGAAACTATAACCAACGTGGCAAAAACAAGCATCCCTAGCATCCAGATTGTGGATTTGAAATACCATTTCCCATTCAAAGAAACAAAGCTCATTAGGCCAGAATGTACAAAAGGAGCATGAAACACCTTGTCATACCATATAGCAAGAAGGCTATCAAAGACCATTAAGGGTCAACATCAAAAGAACTCAAAAGAAACAACATAAAGAGGTTTATACTGGTTAAAGATGAGACAATCTTAACTTCAGTAAGGATAGCCAACTATAACAGTTTTGAATACATTAAATACATAGATTAATGATACTGAAATTTTAAAATTTGCTTGAAAATAAAACTGGAGTCAGTAACAAGGGAAGGCTAGCTAAACGAGACTGGCCACTGGTTGGTTGATAACTGTTAGATCTGGGTGGTGATTACATGGTGTATCACTCTGCCTACTTTCATATATATTTTAGGTTTCCCACTATTAAAAGAACAGCAGCGTGTGAGAACATAAAAATAATTTTTATTTAGAAAAATTAATTATAAATTGAGATAACGATTACTTTTCCTACCTAAACAGTACACATTTAAGCAATTCTGTGTAGAATGTAAGAACAGTATTCATCCTTAAGAGGTTAGTTTGAAAGCATTAGTTTAAAATAGCATTTACATTTTATCAAATATATCTCACATTGTAAGACAATTAACCACTTTAAACATGTAATTTGAGAGAATCCTTAACATATGAACAACTTACCTTTCAAAAGGTGCTTGGACTCTCTTAATTACATGATAAACAAGTATGTCTTTTGCCAACCTATATTTATCACTTAATGATGTTATAAGTCTTAGGCATCCAATAAGCTCTAGGTAGTTATAATATTCATTTAGTAAAGAGTTTAAGTCAGCCACAGTTGCTGCAGTATTTATCTGTAATGAAGAAGAAAATACACCCAGTTTACTCATTTACTTGTGAAAGATATTTACATTTCAAATGACACATTACTTTATACTCAATTCTTGAGTACACCTGGGTGAAGTGAAAGTATACTAAGAATTATTTTCCTAGAATAAATGTCTGATAATCCAGTTTAATAAATACTGTATATTTCTGCCAAAACCTAGGTTTTAAGAAATCTAGACTATAATGCCACTTTAATATAGGAAATTACTTCCATAAAAGGCGGTAACTGATATAGAACAGTTACATAGCACTAGAGAGGCAAGAAAGAGGACCTGCAGAGATTTCATGAAAGAAAGAATAGCTGAGATTTAAAAAAATGGATACACTCAAGAGTATTTGAGGGAACAACATAAACAAAGATATACTTAACCATTTATGTGCCAGACACTTTCACATAGGTTAGCTCTTGAACAAAGTTACGGAGGGAGAAAGATAAAATTAGGAGGCAAAGTCCATTTGAATGGAAAATCTCCTTGCTATTTCTTTCTTCCAAAAAACTCTTCTTCCAGGTATTTACATGATTCCCTCATTTATTTCAGATCTCTCCTGTGACCTCAGAAGTTTTTCCTGACTACCCTGTTCAAACTACCTTCACACTCTAATAATTGCGTATATGTTCTCATCCTCCCAAACCCATCACCCTAAGTTTTAGCTAGGCATATAGCCAAACTTACCTTAAAGCTAGTGTGGCCTTATGTGACTAAGAGCTGTCCAATGGGACATGAGTGAAAATGTGTCAAATTTCCCTGCACTCTACTTCCACTTTCTCCCTGTACAGCAAGCTTCAGCTATGAAGACAATATCCTAAATGACTACACAACAAGAGGAAGGAATCCAATTCTCTGGGTGACTTGGTGTATCACAATTGTACCTTAAAACAGGAGCCATTTCTGTAAAGGCCAGATAGCATTTTATGCTTTGTGGGCCATATGGTGCTTGTCACAACTACTAAACTCCACCACTGTAGTGTAAAAGCAGTCACAGACACATAACAAATGGGTGTGTTTGTGTTCCAATAAAACTTTAAAAAGGCAGCAGGCAAGACTTGGCCTACAGCTATAGTTTGCCAACTCCTACTCTAAAATCTAGATTTTAGAAAAAAATAAATATCTGCCTTTTTTGAGCCATTGTCTTTTGGGTCTCTTTGTTACAGAAGCTTAGCCTACCTATGCTTTAACTTACTATACCCCAAGCATTATCTTGGAAAAGATATCCTTCCTCTTATTCTGTTCTATTTTTATAATATATTTTACTATATGACAGTATATTATATATTTATTTATCTTGTCGTTCCTCTAATATGTAAATTCCAAGAAGGCAGGGGCTTTGTTTGGTTCACTACTTTATCTTCAGTGATAAAACAGTATGGGAAACAGGGACTTCCCTGGTGGCACAGTAGCTAAGATTCCGCGTTCCCAGTGCAGGGGGTCCGGGTTCGATCCCTGGTCAGGGAACTAGATCCCACATGCATGTCGCAACTAAGAGTTCGCATGCCACAACTAAGGAACCCACCAGCTGCAACTAAGGAGCCCACCTGCCACAACTAAGACCTGGCAGAACCAAATAAATAATAAAAACAAACAAAAAACCATATGGGGTACATAGCACCTTGTAGATATATGTATCTGTTGACTAAATCAGTGAAGGAACACTGGCTAGGAGTCTGGAGTTAGTAAAGCCATGAGGAGAGCTCCAAGTGCCCTAATGAAGAACTCGAACTCCATTCAATAGGCAATGAGAATCCATTAGGATTCCTGAGGAAGAAAGCAATGTGGTCAAACCTGTACTTGTGAAAGAATCATCCTGAAGAAGATGATTAGAATAATATCTTAATTGTTTAAACTTAGATATAACCTGAGTTTGGTATAGTAAGCATACTAGAAATAAGAAGGAAAGGCCACTGTTAGAGACGGATGACTTGACACAAACTGATAAATGGAGTATGGAAGAATGAAAACAACCCTGTCTCCAGAATAACTTGGAAATAAGAAATCTCTTGAAAAGAAAAGGAAAATCAGGCAAAAAACCAAATTCTGGGCAAAAAATTATTTCTGTCCTAAACATGCTGTGCTCAATTTGGTAGGAAGACCCAGATCTTATCTGGATATAAACATCTAGGGGCTCAAAAATACAGGTCTGGAAATCATCAGAAAGGTTATAGATGAGGAGACTCTTTCCAAATAGTATAGAAGGAGGACTGTTAAGACAACACTGAAAATTACCTACGTTTTAGGGGTAGGAAGAAGAAGCATTAAAAAAGACAGTAATAGTCAAAAGTAGGAGGGAGTAGATATTAAAGAAAACAACAGAGATGAATTCAAATACAGTGGTGGTTGCAGAAGTCAGAGGAGATGAGGAATTACAAAAGAAAGGCCTTTGCATGTGGAGATTTAGATCCCTGCATATCAGCAATGAACTAGCTAACTCAGAAGAGTAGTGGTGGGAACAGAGGTCTGACTGTAAGTTAAATGAGTAGGAAAGAGGAAGTGGAAACAATGAAGTTAAAGTACATTTTTTCTCATAAAGAGGAGAAAAGAAAAAATAAATTGAAGGGTTAAAGGGTCAGTTTAAAATACCATTTTAGAATGAGGAGTCTTGGGCAAAATACACATTTCCAGGTTTCTTACTTTCTGGTTTAGAAACTTGAGGTTTAACAAGATTAACCCAACATGCCCAAGGTCACATAGCTTATATCAGTTATTTCAAACTAAAATCTGACTTCTGAGCATTTGTTTTTAACTATTAAACTATACTGCCTATTAACTGAGACAATGGATAGAGTAGGCTTAAGTATGGGACAAGTTAAGGGAAGAAAAGTTGAATTGGATTTCATTGTCTCAACTGTTTCATTACTTTCTAAATCAGTAACACTTGGGCAATGTTACTTATGATAAGTAAACTGAGTTTGTACGGATAACATGTGTAGTACAGGGCTTAATAAATGGTAACTATTTTTTTTTTTTTTTTGCAGTACGCGGGCCTCTCACTGTTGTGGCCTCTCTCGTTGCGGAGCACAGGCTCCGGACGCACAGGCTCTGGACGCGCAGGCTCAGCGGCCACGGCTCATGGGCCCAGCCACTCTGCGGCATGTGGGATCTTCCCGGACGCGGGGCACGAACCCGTGTTCCCTGCATCGGCAGGCGGACTCTCAACCACTGCGCCACCAGGGAAGCCCATGGTAATATTTTGAGGGGAGGAACACTGAGTCTCCCCAACTGTTTCCACAGAGAAGAAATTCAGCCTGGTCTTTCTCTCCACCCATCACTCATATCTCCCTGTAGGAGGAAGGATAAATTTTCTGCTGGTAACCATCCTTTCTTCAGCTCCACCTGACGATAGGAAAGTGCACTTTCATCTGCTCTTGAGCATGCAACAAGGAACCTGCCTTATGTTGTCCCTGGCAGGGCAGATAAATCCACCTAGTTCTGAGGAGTGTTAGCAAGCCATTCTGACCACAGATCTAAGTCACATTATCTAACTGGTTTTATCAACATTAAACATGGCACTTTGATCTCTAGCTGCCTGCCCTTTACATCTGTCTATTAAATGGTTGTTAACTTTGTTGGTAAACAAAAATAATGACACCCCTTAACTACTCCACAAAGAGTATTATTCTATTGCAGATCCATCATTTATATTCAAATACACCTAGAACATAGTCTACATCTGAACAAACAGGTACATTTCTTACCCTGATTATAATCTGTGCCACATCAAAGTCTGAGACATCGTCTAAAATTGGTTGGGTACTTTCTGGTCCATAAACAAGGCAGTTAAATAAGGTTTTAGAAAAGAAACCAGGTGAAGGACCACCATGAACCAAAGAAATGGCAAGCATTTTGCCAGCTTCATAGTAAAGATTCTCTTTCAGAGCTGTAAATACAGATAAAATATATCAAATACACTTCTTTTATTATTATATAACCATCATATGTAATTAATACATATATAATAAATTTTAAAATCCAAGCTTTAGACAAATGTATAATAACCTAATTCATAGAAGGTATAATAATGTATAAAATATAAATTTCAACCAAAATATACAATTTTACAAATTTTTTTCTGAATTCAAAGTAACAATCTATTATAGAAAAATATGTAAATACAGAAAGTCTTTTTATAAAATCACCTATAATCCTACCACCATAATAACCAGTGTACACACTTTGGTGTATTTATAATATGTCTCATATGCATATAAATATATACATAAATAGCTTGACTTCTGTCTTTTTCCACTTACTGTATTATAAATTTTTAAAATATTACTTGAAATTATTCAAATATACAGTTAATGAATGCATTCAAACTAATTTACAGATGTGCTGCAATGTAAACCACCCCCTTATTACTGGCTAGCCCAGTTTCAACTAATGAGACACAATGTTACAGTCAACATCTATTTACACATTCTTGTTTATATATCTTTGATTATTAGGATAGATTCCTACATACAGTATTAGTGGTTCAAAGGATATGAACAATTTTAAGGTTGTTGATATACAAAATGGTACAAATTAACTCTCAACACTATATGCTATCTTACCATATCATCACAATATTTTTCAATGTGTCATTAAAAATGTTTTAGCTACTTCGATAACTCAAAAAGATATTATGTAAATTTTCCTTTATTTTTTCTAAAAATTAAAAGTAATTTATTAATAAGTAACATTAACAATACCTGAAATAATAATAAAATCTCCTCAACAATAACCTTATATACTACATATTAGTAGTCACATCCTACAGATGAAGAAACTGAGATCCAGAGGGGCTATGCAATTAATCTAGGGAAATAAAGCTACTGAAGTAGATGTGTACAAACTGAACTCAGATTTTGTGACTTAAATTCCATGTACTCTCTCCACTGTACCAAAACTGCCATGAATTAATAACATACTGATTACTTGGAGCGTTTTTGTTTTTTTTTAAAGGGAGTGTAGAATTAAACTGTGTGTACTATACATAGTACTAATGATCCTTGGTAGTTTCTCAATTATTTCAATGATACTTCAGGCAATGGTGAGGAAGTTCTAAAGAAAACATAGAAGGAAGTCAAATGGGATGATATGTCTTCTCACTCTCTCTCAAATTCCTATTACAGCAAAAGCGGTTATAAAAGCTCCGAAAAAAAGAATGCTAGAATTAACCAGTGTTTTGAGATGCCTGTTTTAATCACATTAATTCCTTACCAGAAGTAAAGACAGAAAAGTATCATATAAATAATTCTGTTAAATAAATAAAAAAAACTCTTGAAAGCAAAAGTAAAAAGTAAAAGTAAAAAAAGTAAAAAAAAAGTAAAACTCTTGAAAGCAAAAGTAAAAAGCTAAAAATCTGTTATATGTGAACCAAAAAATTATGTTATAAAAATCCTAGGTTGTGAAGAAACATGCCAACTGCAAATTTCAAATATATGAACAAGAAGAGCTCAAAAACTCATTCATCCAATTTGGCCACTCTATTCAAATGAATTAAAATTAAGTACATTTTTCAGAAGTTATACTTAATTATAGAATCACTTTAAGTAGGATTTTGCTATAAAGAAATTAAGGATATTCTAAAATAAAAAATGTTTCACTACAAAATTTATTTTAAAAAACATCACTTCCCCCCTTTTCTGTGATTCTATCATTATTTTAGTAACAAAGTGATTATACATTTTGACAGGTATTGAGTATCAATTCTAACCTGCTATCTCTTTCTTAATACATGGTATATTCAGTATGTACAATAATAAAATAGTTACCTTGAGAATTGAGAGACAAGTTCTTTGACAAGGACCCTTCAAACAATGGTGAGTTCTCAAGTTGCTGCATTAAGAGACTTAGGAATTCTTGCTTTGATCCAGGCTGCTCTTTTCCAAAATGATCATTTTCATTAACATATGCTATTTCAATTGTATATGAAGGATTAAAGTTGTGATTTCTGAATCCATCTAAGGCACTATTCCAGATATTGGCTTTGTTGATAAATAATCTTTTAGCTTTTTTTTTAATTTGGAATCCTAGCTCTATTATTAGAGTTGAAATATCTCTTCTAAATTTGCTGCCTTGCCTATAAAACATGAATTTAAACATAGAGGTAAGTACTCTAAAGTACTTTAGGTGTCACAGCAGTTACACAGCCAAATAAAAAAAGAATAGAAAGAAGTTCTTCCCCAACTCCCACCCAAAAGCAAACAATGGCCGCCAGTGGAACAAAAAAGTTATTTGATAACCTTAGTTCTAAATTCTTGATTCCTTCTACCCAATCTTTTACCAAATTAAAATCATCTAATGTTATACAATTCACTGGATTTAGGTATAAGAGTCAAAAGCTCAAACTCTTACCTCCCTGGACATACTTGCTTAACTGCATCTTTTTTTTTTTTTCTAACATCTTTATTGGAGTATAATTGCTTTACAATGGTGTGTTAGTTTCTGCTTTTAACTGCATCTTATTTCATGTTCACTAGATCATTTAAAGATAGAGCAAATGTAATCTCTGCTCACTGTATGAGAGAACTATATTTTTAAGAGATTACATATTTTAAGCAGAATTCACACTCCTTTAAATAGTACTTTTCAGTTTACACTATTAATTCTCAAAGTGTGGCCCCAGACCAGCAACAGCAGCAGCTGCCGCACCTGGAAACTTGTTAGAAACGCAGCTTCTTAAGCCCCACAGCAGATAAACAGAATCAGAACCTCTGAGCATGAGGCCAGGCAACCAGTGCCCTAACAAGACCTCCAGACAATTATCTGGACTAACTCAATTATTCCCTGCCTCAGTTTCTCCATCTGTAATTGGAATTAATGTACTCAAAATAATCCTGTTAGGGGCAATGTCCAAGGATCCTCTTTCTACATCAAATTAGGGACTGCAGTTTGAAAAATACCCTTCCAAACTACTCTGAGAACAGCTAATACTCTAAATGTATATAGCTACTTCCCGTTCTAATTTTCTCAAAACAGAGTTTTATATTTTTCTCCAATTCAAAATACACACCTCAGCAGGTCTTCACGCTGGGCTCCAGGAGACTGTCTGGGTAATTTAGGTGAAGATTCCTCCAACAAACAATCAGTTATTCCCACATTAGTGCTGGGTAATGTGTGTTTTTTGGCTTTTTGGAAATCGCCTACAGATTTAAAACCCAATGTTAGTATAATAGGAATATAGGTAGAAACTTTTGAATAATATGCATTTAAATAAAAACATCTTTATTCAAAATCACAAAATATTACCTGAATTGTAAAGAATACCTCTACATTCCAAACATTCCCAATTTTGTTCCCATGATTGTAGTGAGGAACAGGCTAGATGTGTTCCGCGAGAACCACAACACTGACAGCGCTTTATTTCCCATTTGCTGAGGACATAAAGAGAAGCAGATTATTTTCATGTGGTATTAACTTAGTCTAATTCCGACCATCAGCACCACTGCACACCTCACTGTCCACCTCACACACACAGCCAACCCTTTTACCCAAGGAAGGAAAATAAATTATCTGCTTTGATACTGCATTACTTTTTCCTAAAGTTGTTTTTCCCCCCCATTTCATTTATTATGTTTGTAACTTCCTCCTTTAAACATTCTCTATCTTAAAATACTAAACTAAATATCAGCATGTACATGCACATATACCCAAAGTATGTCTGATATGGAAGAAGCATTCAGTAAATACATTATCTTACCTAAAATACTATCTTTCCCATTCAAGGTGAGGAATTATTTCCTATAATAAGCTTGCTCAGACACCCCAAGTACTGTGCAGCTCAACAGGATCCAGACTTACTACGTGATCCGCATTCATATTCTCTCTCATCTTTTCCCCTCAATCCCCCACTCCCAATGTTTCCCCACTGTGTTGTGTGACATGTACCAGTCAGCATTCACATTTTCTGTACGGGTGTGGGTTATAGCGTGCAGCCTCCTCTTTGTTTGGTTATGAATACGTCCGTCTGTACAGAAATGGATATACTCCCTGAGTGTGTGGATATGTGGGTGATAAGAGACTTAGCTGCGTAACTTCACCTCTTGTAGGTGTGGGCGAATCTCCCTCTGTGTGGACTTGGGTGTGTAGGGGTATGTCCTCTCTGTGTCTCCCTCTCTTCCCCAGATAGTTCTGCCAACTGATGATGAAGAGGAAGAAAGATGACAGCTAACGAGTGCTTATACACCAGGCCCAGTTCTCACTCTTTACATGTAAAGTTTCAGAAGGTTGGAAAAATTTCAGAAGGTTGGAAAAACCAGTTACCTCCATTTTGAAGAAGAGGAAACCAAAGCATAGAGGGGTAAATTGCTTGCCCAAACAAGTTCACACTGTTAGTAAGTCTCAGAGTGAGGCTTCCAATCCAGTTTACCTGGCTTCAGACCCATGCTCCTAACCACTCCACCATGCTGCCTTTCAGCAAGTTACCTTCCTATCACTAGGATGAGAGGGAGTGAGACTGCAAAGAAAGCATTCAGATAGCAGGATTCTGTGTCCTAGGAGAAAAGGCAAAGTAGTTGCCAGAAAGAAAAGGGAGTTTGGTAGCAAATGATTAGGTGACCAGAGGTATACAAGGAATATGTATATTAAGTTAATCAAAATAGCCTAAAATGAATTTAGAAAATATCATTAATGAATATATTGCTTCTTAAAACTGTAAAGTGCTTTACTGTCTACAAAGCACTTTATATACATTAATTTCATCTCTACCTCAGCACAACCCTTGAGCAGGGTATTATTAGTATTTACAGATGAATAATCAGGGTCACCAGATCAAGTAACTTAGGCAAGAATACACATTACTTGACATCTTCAATGAGACCTCCGCCCTTAATGAATCTTTAGTCTAATGGCAAAGACAAATTTAAATATTGTCAACTCTATTGTAACAAGCACAATGAAGGGAAAATCCAGCCCAGAACAGGGAATCAGGAATAGTAAGAGCTTCTTAGGGGAAACTTTCCAAAGCTTGCAAGACTTCAGCTGAGTCTTCCAAAATAAGTTGTAGCTCACCTAGCCAAATCACTTTCCATAAGAGATAAGGCTCCCAATATTCTGCTCAGCACTTTAAGTTTGTCATATTAATTAAGACTACATAACAGGGATAAAAATTTATCAAAATTTCAACAAAATTAGATTTGTTACTTTTTATCCTGCATCTTAAAAAATAAAGATACTCTTGATTTCTAATACCCCACACAGTATAAACGATTGTTAACATTATAGTTAACGTCTACGGATATTACAAAAGAGTAATCAATAAATTTCAAATGCCAAATCCTTCTTATAGTGATCCAAAACAAACGCTGATAGATTAACCTACTTTCTTAACCTCTAGAACAGTGTCATCCAACAGAAATATAATGTAAATCATATATGTAATTTAAACTTTCCTAGTAACCAGATTTTAAAAGGTAAAAGGAACAGGTGAAATAAATTTGAGTATTTCCAAAATATAGTCATTTTGTTTGGCAGGTAATCAATTTAAAAAATTATTAACAAGATATTTTAAGGTCTTTTTTTCTTACTGTTATGGGCTGAATTCTGTCATGCCCAGAATTCATATGTTGAAGACCTAACACCCAGTACTTCACAAGGTGACTGTAGTTGGAGATAGGGCCTTTAAAGCGATAATTAAGATGAGGCCATATGCGTGGGTCCTAATCCAATATGACTGGTATCCTAATAAGAAAAAAAGATTAAGGCACAGACAGAAGGACACAGCTGGAAGGGAGCCATGTGCAAGCCAAGGAGAGAGGCTTCAAGAGAAATCAAACCTGCCAATGCCTTTATCTTGGACGTCTGGCCTCTAGGTTTCTGAGAAGAAAAATTTCTGTTGTTTAAGCCACCTGGTTTGTGGTATTTTGTTATGGCAGTCCTAGTAAACTAAGATACATATAAATCTTCGGTGTGTATTTTACACTTACGACACCTCTCAATTTGGAATAGCCACATTTCAAGTGCTCAATAGCCACCTGTGGTTACTGGCTACCACAGTAGAGCTCTAGAAAACAGAGCCTCATGAAAACACACCACAAAAGTTCCAATTATGCCAACTGCAATAATTTCTGTAAACAGATATAAATATGCATTTAATAAATATACCTCATCTCAAGTTAAAATTTCTAACATCCTAAGAGCAAAAGTACATTTCACTAAATAGAAAACCTACTTTCTCAAGCTGAAGGTTTAAAAAAGGACACTAGTAGAAATACAAAAGATCATGAGAGATTACTAGAAGCAACTCTATGCCAATAAAACAGACAACCTGGAAGAAATGGACAAATTCTTAGAAATACACAACCTGCCAAGACTAAATCGGGAAGAAATAGAAAATATTAACAGACCAATCACAAGCACTGAAATTGAAACTGTGATTAAAAATCTTCCAACAAACAGAAGCCCAGGACCAGATGGCTTCACAGGCGAATTCTATCAAACATTTAGAGAAGAGCTAACACCTATCCTTCTCAAACTCTTCCAAAATATAGCAGAGGGAGGAACACTCCCAAACTCATTCTATAAGGCCACCATCACCCTGATACCAAAACCAGACGAAGATGTCACTAAGAAAGAAAACTACAGGCCAGTATCACTGATGAACATAGATGCAAAAATCCTCAACAAAATACTAGCAGACAGAATCCAACAGCACATTAAAAGGATCATACACCATGATCAAGTGAGGTTTATTCCAGGAATGCAAGGATTCTTCAATATACGCAAAATAATCAATGTGATAAACCATATTAACAAATTGAAGGAGAAAAACCATATGATCATCTCAATAGATGCAGAGAAAGCTTTCGACAAAATTCAACACCCATTTATGATAAAAACCCTCCAGAAAGTAGGCATAGAGGGAACTTTCCTCAACATAATAAAGGCCATATATGACAAACCCACAGCCAACATTGTCCTCAATGGTGAAAAACTGAAACCATTTCCACTAAGATCAGGAACAAGACAAGGTTGCCCACTCTCACCACTCTTATTCAACATAGTTTTGGAAGTTTTAGCCACAGAAATCAGAGAAGAAAAGGAGAAAAAAGGAATCCAACTCGGAAAAGAAGAAGTAAAGCTGTCACTGTTTGCAGATGACATGATACTATACATAAAGAATCCTACAGATGCTACCAGAAAACTACTAGAGCTAATCAATGAATTTGCTAAAGTAGCAGGATACAAAATCAATGCACAGAAATCTATGGCATTCCTATACACTAATGATGAAAAATCTGAAAGTGAAATAAAAAAAAAAACTCCTATTTACCATTGCAACAAAAAGAATAAAATATCTAGGAATAAACCCCCCTAAGGTGACAAAAGACCTGTATGCAGAAAATTATAAGACCCTGATGAAAGAAATTAAAGATGATACAAATAGATGGAGAGATATACCATGTTCTTGGACTGGAAGAATCAACATTGTGAAAATGACACTACTCCACAATCTACAGATTCAATGCAATCCCTATCAAACTACCACTGGCATTTTTCACAGAACTAGAACAAAAAATTTCACAATTTATATGGAAACACAAAAGACCCCGAATAGCCAAAGCAATCTTGAGAACGGAAAACGGAGCTGGAGGAATCAGGCTCCCTGACTTCAGTCTATACTACAAAGCTACAGTAATCAAGAGAGTATGGTACTGGCACAAAAACAGAAAGATCAATGAACAGGATAGAAAGCCCAGATATAAACCCACGCACATATGGTCACCTTATCTTTGATAAAGGAGGCAGGAATGTACAGTGGAGAAAGGACAGCCTCTTCAATAAGTGGTGCTGGGAAAACTGGACAGGTACATGTAAAAGTACGAGATTAGAACACTCCCTAACACCATACACAAAAATGAGCTCAAAATGGATTGAAGACCTAAATGTAAGGCCAGAAGCTATCAAACTCTTAGAGGAAAACATAGGCAGAACACTCTATGACATAAATCACAGCAAGATCCTTTTTGACCCACCTCCTAAAGAAATGGAAATAAAAATAAACAAATGGGACCTAATGAAACTTCAAAGCTTTTGCACAGCAAAGGAAACCATAAACAAGACCAAAAGACAGCCCTCAGAATGGGAGAAAATATTTGCAAATGAAGCAAGTGACAAACAATTAATCTCCAAAATTTACAAGTAGCTCATGCAGCTCAATAACAAAAAAACAAACAACCCAATCCAAAAATGGGCAGAAGACCTACATAGACATTTCTCCAAAGAAGATATACAGATTGCCAACAAACACATGAAAGAATGCTCAACATCATTAATCACTAGAGAAATGCAAATCAAAACTACAATGAGATATCATCTCACACCAGTCAGAATGGCCATCATCAAAACATCTAGAAACAGGGCTTCCCTGGTGGCACAGTGGTTGAGAGTCCACCTGCCAATGCAGGGGACACGGGTTCGTGCCCCGGTCCGGGAAGATCCCACATGCTGCGGAGCGGCTGGGCCCGTGAGCCATGGCCGCTGAGCCTGCATGTCCCGAGCCTGTGCTCTGCAACAGGAGAGGTCACAACGGTGAGAGGCCCGTGTACCAAAAAACAAAACAAAACAAAACAAAAAACATCTAGAAACAATAAATGCTGGAGAGGGTGTGGAGAAAAGGGAACACTCTTGCACTGCTGGTGGTAATGTGAATTGGTACAGCCACTATGGAGAACAGTATGGAGGTTCCTTAAAAAACTACAAATAGAACTACCATATGACCCAGCAATCCCACTACTGGGCATATACCCTGAGAAAACCATAGTTCAAAAGAAGTCATGTAGCAAAATGTTCATTGCAGCTCTATTTACAATAGCCAGGAGATGGATGCAACCTAAGTGTCCATCATCGGATGAATGTATAAAGAAGATGTGGCACATATATACAATGGAATATTACCCATCCATAAAAAGAAACGAAATTGCGCTATTTGTAATGAGGTGGATAGACCTAGAGTCTGTCATACAGAGTGAAGTAAGTCAGAAAGAGAAAGACAAATACCATATGCTAACACATATATATGGAATCTAAGAAAAAAAGAAAATGTCATGAAGAACCTAGGGGTAAGATGGGAATAAAGACACAGACCTACTAGAGAATGGACTTGAGGATATGGGGAGGTGGAAGGGTAAGCTGTGACAAAGTGAGAGAGTGGCATGGACATATACACACTACCAAACGTAAAATAGCTAGTGGGAAGCTAGATAGCTAGTGGGAAGCAGCCGCATAGCACAGAGAGATCAGCTCAGTGCTTTGTGACCACCTAGAGGGGTGGGATAGGGAGGGTGGGAGAGACGGAGACGCAAGAGGGAAGAGATATGGGAACATATGTATATGTATAACTGATTCACTTTGTTATAAAGCAGAAACTAACACACCATTGTAAAGCAATTATACTCCAATAAAGATGTTAAAGAAAAAAGGACACTAAGCACAACTGAACTTCCCCATATACCTGTCAGGCACATTATAGTCTCGCCCTTCTTTGCAACGACATCTTCGGACATCACAATGCTCATAGTGCTGCAGAAGCTCTTGATAAGCATTTTCCTCTAATTCCCAAGATGCATCTCTGTAAATGAAGCAAGATATAAAATATACTTTGGCCTAAAATGTTACATAAAAGGACTGATAATGAATCTAAAACTATAAACTCTTCACAAACTTAGGAACAAGGATGAAACTTGTTCTTTTTACGATTAATCATTCACTTCAATATATAAATCCCTTAGTGTCATTTTATCCTACAGTTAATTAGTCTCACAGTGAATTTCAAATGCTAAATGAAAAATTAAGTAGAAATTTTCTGAAACTTACATTTTTCCTAATATTTCACTTCCAATTTTTTGAATTTCAAGTTTAGTACCATATTTCTGGATTCCTCACCTTTAAGTATTAAGAAAATTCTTATACATTTTAAACCACATCTTGATTCTCTCAAATAATTTATACATACCATTTTGAAGCCTATTATACTTGTGTATCAATCAATCAATCAATATTGTACACAAGTGAGGTGTACAATTATTAAGAGACTATAAACAACTAATGAGACATTTAAGTCAGGACCTGGTTCTCAAGAACTAGCAATCTGGGGAGGAGGAGGAAAGGTGGCGGGGACGGTTTTACATTTCCCTGTTTGAAATGGCTGCTTGTCCATGAGTAATTAATCAGACATCAATGATTATTTCCATTGTTATTAAATCCTATATTTAAAACATCTTTTCATCAAAAGGCTAAATGTTACTCACTTTTCAGGAATATGAATTCCCATTCTCAACATCTCTTTCTGAAATATATCACTATTATTGCATACTGTGCACCTAAAGAAAAACATTCCTGCATTTATTGCTTGAACCTATAGTGGAAAATAGAAAATATATGATTAATAATTTAACAGGTTATCAGGTTATGAATAAGATAGCTAACAGAACATGTGTGCTACTTTTCACATATATATTATGGAAACTTATTTTTTATGTTTGTGGTTCATAAACTTTGATAAACTAAGTTACCCTAGTGCTAAAACTTGGGGATATTTCTCCCAATGGGAAAAAAAATTAAGCTAATGAATTGACTGTTCTTTACATCTATCACCAATATGTGTTTCTCAACCCTTTGTATCTAATGTCATTTCTGTTCCCAAATATTGTGTTGTCCATCACTCTCTGTGAATAAAACAGTAAACATCTTTAGTTACTCCATCTAGGAAGGATGTTTAAATAAATGTTACATATAAAGCATCGTTGGTTCTGTTTTTAACTCAATCTCTGTAAGTTTTCTTCCTAAGGGGGAGAAGCATAAAACCTATTCTCACTGCTTCAGCAAATAAAAATACAGAAGCAGCAGAAAGAGAGAGAAAGCGTAGCCAATCACCAGTTTAAAAAGCTAGTAGCACACACTCATTTAATAAATATTTAATCCCTACTATATAGGCGCCAAACACTATGCTAGTACCAAAAATAGAAACATAAAATGACTTAGATCCTATTTCAAGGAATTCTTGTGAGTAGGCATATACTATAAAAGTATTATTATTTTTTAATACATTTATTTATTTATGGCTGCGTTGGGTCTTCGCTGCTGCATGCAGGCTTTCTCTAGTTACAGCGAGTGTGGGCTTCTCTTTGTTGCGGAGCATGGGCTCTAGGCGTGCGGGCTTGAGTAGTTGTGGCACATGGGCTTAGTTGCTCCGCAGCATGTGGGATCTTCCCTCTCTTCCATAGATACTTTTTAAAAAATACTTTTAGGACTTCCCTGGTGGCGCAGGGGTTAAGAATCCGCCTGCCAATGCAGGGAACACGGGTTCGAGCCCTGGTCCGGGAAGATCCCACATGCCGCAGAACAACTAAGCCCGTGTGCTACAACTACTGAGCCTGTGCTCTAGAGCCCACGAGTCACAACTACTGAGCCCGTGTGCCACACTACAGAAGCCTGCGTGCCTAGAGCCCATGCTCTGCAACAAGAGAAGCCACCGCAATGAGAAGCCCACGCACTGCAAAGAAGAGTAGCCCCTGCTCACTGCAACCAGAGAAAGCCCATGCGCAGCAATGAAGATCCAACGCAGCCAAAAATAAATACATAAATTTATTTAAAAATAACTAAACAAATAAATAAAAAGTATATACGGAAGAGAAAGGAAGAAGTACTGAAGTTTATGTAAGAGCCTGACAAAAATGTCACAGGGATGGTACGGTCAAAGTTAAGTATGAAAGGAGTAGGGGTGTGCCAGGAAAATAGGACAAAAGACAATACAAGGAGAGGGAATAGCAAAAGAGTACATGTGATTGGGGAAATAATAATAATATACTTAGAAATTACACGCTGATCATACTGAACTAAGTAATTAAAATAGGTAAATTAAAGTTAGTAGTGTGAAGAATTGACAGAGAATAAGGCATGCAGGAGTTAGTGGCCTCCGGCAAAAGTCTAGTTAAAAAAAAAAAGTGTCTGAAGTGAAATCACAAAGGGTTTAAGGTAGAGGGTAGCAACAAAAAAGGATACACCAAAACTATTAAGCAGATCTGACAGACTTGGAGAATGATTTGTGGATGGTGAAGAAAGAAGTGGACAAAGAGGAATCCAGGTTCAAACAACTAGCAGGTAGCACACACACAACATGTGAGAGGGAAGCAACAAGTTAATGAAATCTCTGCTGAACCTAAAGGATCTTTGAGCAATTGTACACAGATACCAAGATCTTACTAAGTATAGGATATGATACAAGAACTGTCTAGCATGGAGAAAAGAAAAACAGCATAGGACATATGAATGATACCAACAAGACCACAGCAATGATGTGAGAAATCCAAACTGAACAAGAATAGTGACAATTCTCTGCATACAGAGTGAAAAGTCAATTTCTTTGATATTAATCTATAGTCTCTCCTCACAAAATCCCAATGTATATAGCATTTGTAGTGGTCACAAATGAAATTTGCTTAACCACATACAATTCTCATCCTACTGCATAGGTTTGTTCTTCCTTCAACTCTTTTATATTAATGGAGTTCAGAGATTAAAAAAAATTATTTGGGTATTATTATAGCTACCTGAACAGGGTAGACTCCATTTACTATTTCAGTTAAGACTTGTATCAGAGTGGAAAAGCCACTGGAGTTCTTTTAAGGAACAATGACTCAAGAATGAGCTCTGTCCTGGTGTGCTCTAACCAAGTAATAATTGCTTGCTTGTTAATATTTATATCACAGACAGGTGTCCATGGAGCCATGACCTTATATCTGCATAAAGTAGACCTACATTTTTGTTAGTAGTACTACTTCTAGTTTTTAATGACAGAATTAGAAACGTGGTATTTTCGGAGTTCACAAAAAGTCCTATGAATACTAGGTCAAATTTGAGAACCTCTCTCTGTTTCATTATTAATGCATAATGAGGCAAATCTTATTTGTCCTGAAAAATAACATACTATTACAAATTATACAAAGTTAACAAGATGATACATTTGGCAGCAATTACATTCAATTCATTCAAATACAAACCCTGAATTAAGATAAATTACCTTTTAAAGATTCTCACATAATGTGAACTTCTTCCTCAATAGGTAAAGATAGCACTTCATGATGTTTATGAACTGCACGCTAGATCCCTTTACAAACACTTCTTTGTAAGAATGAACAGGATTTCTAATATTTACCCAACAAAATAGGCTCCATCCTGCCACTTTTAACTGATAACTAATAATAACTAACTAATACTAAGAATAAGAGTTCAAGGCTCATACAAAAAAAACCAGGAAGTAATCAAGCTTTACTACTTTGACTACTGTTAGTACTTTTAAGATTTTGTTGAAATATAAGAGGATTTACATCTCCTAACTTAAAAAAAAGAACTTTTGTAGTTAATTTGTAATCAATAATAACATTTCATTTTACTAAGCAATAATAAAAGCCAAGCTTTAAAAAACAGTATAAACTTAAGTAAACCCTGTGTCACTTGGCATTCTATCAACTATAACTGTCTAACAATTGGCACTTTCACACATTTATACTATATATTGGACATTATTAATAACTGGGATCTTTTAAAAATTTTAAATTATCTTCTGAATTGAAGAAACTAAATTGTTTAATGTGTGTTTTATGATATTTCATTTACTTGAAAACTTGTCGTCAGGTTTGACATACAAGGTGGCTCTCAAAGAACTAATATTAGTATCAATTCATTAGATAGTAATCAGTTTACTGTCAAAAAGTTTTGATAGTGTTTACTACAGCTAAAAAAAATAGACCTCTTAACATTAAATTAGCTTACAGTTAATTATTTCACATATCTTGTTTTCTAAGCTTAAATATATAAATGAACTTGGGAATTAAAATTTGTGTATTATTCATTGTGAAATACAAACAAAATCCTTAGGTAAAAACAACAAAATTTTAAAAGTGTAAATATACCTTAAAAGGTAGTATCTAAACTTTTATTAAAACATTAATTGTAGGGCTTCTCTGGTGGTGCAGTGGTTGGGAGTCCGCCTGCCAATGCAGGGGACACAGGTTTGTGCCCCGGTCCGGGAGGGTCCCGCGTGCCGCGGAGCGGCTGCGCCCGTGGGCCATTGGCCACTGAGCCTGCGCGTCCGGAGCCTGTTGCTCCGCGGCGGGAGAGGCCACAGCAGTGAGAGGCCCGCGTACCGCAAAAAAAAAAACCAAACAAACATTAATTGTACACTTCAATAGGGTGAATTTTATATGTAAAATTTGATTCAATAAAGCTGTTTTAAAAAGTTACAAGTAGTAAGAGCTAAAATACACATCAATTTTTTCTAATTTAAAATTCAAATTAGCAAGCAACAAATTTTATACCAGAAAAAGCTGACAAAACATCTTACCTGTAAACAGTCTCTATGGAACCAAGCATTCTTACAACAAGGACTTCGTAATATGCTGTAAGTTGGAATAGGCTCAATAAATTCCAAGCAAATGGTGCATGGTAAGGAGTCTCTATAATTATTAGATGTAATTATCTGAACAGGTCGATGGTTCCAACAAAATGACCTAAAAATGTATATTATTTTAAAACATCTAATAAATTATACAGCACAACTAGACTAGCTTTACAATTCATATTTATAAGGGAAAATTCATTTGTCTCTCTCGTAATTAACCTACAACAGACTGGAACAACGGCACTATAAATCAGTCTCATAATCTATAACTAAGGAGAGCTGAATTTTCAAAATGTGAACCTTTTGCTGGTGAGATTTACTTCACAGAATTTCAGTAACTAATATTATGTTGAGAATCCTACGTAATACTGTTAGCAACAGAGTATACACACCATTGTACTCAACCTTGCACAAAATCAAAGGAAGGAACTTAAACTTAAAAATAATATATTAATAATATAACAAGTAAAATGCAAATAATAACTTATTCTTAACCCACTAAATGTATTTCCATTTGTATTTTCTAAACTGCAATTCTCATAGAAAACAATCCATTAAATAGGTCAAGAGCACAAAGACTAAAAGAAATAAAACACTCATGATACCAAATACCAAAATTCATAAAATCTCGATGTTTAGAGCTAAAGTCAAGAAGCAAATATTTTTAGGGGCATCCCAGGGCATAATATTTATTTTTTGGACTCCACCAAATTTACATGCCTTCACTTTACTCAATGAGAAACACATATGTCCCTGTGAAAAAAAAGTAAACTATTAAATCTAAAGAATGACATAAAATCTAGAATTATGTAAGCTGGAAATTTTCACTGAATATGAGTATATTAACAGTTCCATATTACATTCTAGAGCTGAAAGCTAGAGATGAATATTAATCATTAAGCCCATTACAGATATTGCAATTCTCCAGACTCTGCAAATAGAAATGATCATAAAGGAGGGGGAGAGAAATTATATATATATGTACACACACCCACACACACATATCTAAAGTATACATAAAACCTCAATGCAGCTTTGAAAAGAAATTTGACAAAGGAATTATATAATTGGGAGATCCACTTTCCATTTTTCTTTTACATTTTCTTTCATATTCAATAGTTAATTAACTCACGCAAAATTGCCAGTGAACTGGAAAATACATTCTCTCTGAAGTCCGCATGGGAAATGATAACTTCGTTTACATCGGGGTGTGACACATCCAATTGAAGCACCGGTTTTCTTGCAAATACAGCATTTCTAAAAGCAAGTATAAAAATAGGAGTTATAACACGTACAAAACTTGAGTACTATAGATAAGACCGAGGTATAAATGAATATTCTTTGTGGAGAGTCTGAAAATTATTTTCATCATACAACAGCTGTGAAGATAGTATATTAAAGAAATTTCCTGAAAAAACCTGTTCTACCCAGAAACAATCTAAAGGGACTAAAGATTCACTCCCATAACAATTTCTGGTAAAGGAAACACCTCTAACCAGAGAAGCTTCATTTCCTTCGTATCTGCTAAAATATTTTAAACGGAAGGGTTTGTAAACATAATGGTTATACATGAAAGTGTCATTCAAATTTCAATAGAAAACACATAGTTAGGAAATATTTATTAAGGACAACAGCAAAACAATACTAAAAACCAATCTGTAAAATATTGGCTAGGATCACTCTATCCTAACCAAATGAAAAAGTGTTAGATACCCACAGTAGGTTAAGTAGTGATTCCCTCAAAAGATATGTTCAAGTCCTAATTCCTGGTACCTTTGAATGTGACCTTATTTGGAAACAAGATCTTTGTAGATACTTGATTTACAAGTATCTACAAAGCTATCTTTAGTTTACAAGTATCTTGAAAGCTAAAGATTTCAAGATGAGTTCATCTTGGATTTAGAGTGGTCCCTCAATCAAAAGGCTGGTGTCCTTATAAGTAAAAGGAGAGGGAGATTTAAGAGACACACACAGGGGGAGGCCACATGAAGATGGAAGCAGAGATTGGAGTTATGCTGCCACAAACCAAGGAATGCCAAAGGTTGCCAAGCAGGCATCAGAAGTTCGAAGAGAAGCATGGAACAGATTATCCCTCAGAGCTTCCAGAAAGAATCAATCCCTTTAACAGCTTGATTTGGAACGTTCAGTCTCCAGAATTGTGAGAGAATAAATTTCTGTTTCAAGCAACCCAGTTTGTGGTAATCTATTACAGCAGCCCTAGCAAACAAATACAATACCACTGCCACTAACTTAAATATAACGGTGGTATATAAACAGAAAGACTATTAGATGAATCAATCATTAGTACAATACAGAACAGTACCTAAAATATCTTGGAACCCTTGAGATGACAACTATAATGGCCACTGATGGAGAGATTATACTGCTGACCCGTCAAACAACACCAGGTTGTATACTTTGCCAACCTGAGGTTCTCCCTGTAAACTGACGTATGGAATTCTACTGTAAGGTCACAAATACAGACACCTCTTCAGTATCAAGATATTCTCAAAGGTTCACAATATACTCAGAGAGGTTACAGATGTCTTAAGAAAACATTTCCAAACTGCAAGGGGACCTATACAGGTCATGTTTCATGACAAGTTCACTATCACCAGAAGATTGAGAAATTTTGATACTAATACTTCCACATGGCCCTTAGATAAATGCCACTGTTAACCTTTTTCCCAAGGTTTTCCCTTGTACCCTAGAACCTCTATTTTACCGTTAACTCCTCTGCATCTTCAACATCTTTAAAAATAATTGCTTCCATTTCTTTGTCTCAACTAAAAGAAAGGTCTCTGCATGCTTCCCTTATAGAATCTCTTGAATGAAGCTGCTTATTTTTCCAGCCTCCTTAATTTCCAGACTTGGCAAGGAGTGGGAGTGGGATATGGATAGAGGCAGGAAGGAGGACAAGCAGAACATTATTTTAGTTCTGTGTGGCAGACTGTAGGCCACTACTCTATCAGACTTAAAAAGATATGGTCCTTTGAACCTAATGACATCTACTCTCTGCCATCTAATAATTTCCTGGTCAGTTCTCCACCTCCAGACTTTGGCACCTTTCTCTGTATTTTAATTCTTGCTGTCATTCTAAATGACTTCTGCACTGATGGGACAACCTTTCTTTGACTTCCTCAACTAAAATGTGTCAATGCACTTCATCATCACTCCAGTGTAATGAAGAATCCTCTCATCACCCCAAACTGCTCCACCATGGAAATCATCAATTCCATTATCACATTCTCTGAACAGAAACCCCTGTACTTCCAATCTTCTCATTCTCTTAACTCTCATTATTTCTACTCAGGCCACACGGAGACCTACAGTCTGTTCATTGCATAACATAGTAAGCTATCACACAAAAGATTCACAAATTATAACTGAATGAATAAGGAGTTAAGGTTTAGAATATCTATCTTGGAGAACAAAAGGCATGGAACACAAGAACACCATGTCACAGAAGAGCCACAAGAGATGTTGAGATCATAAATTATTAGTCTGTATAGTTGTGTAATTTCCATGTCAATCTTTCATTCCAACCCAACAAATGAGATATAAGAATGAAAGTTAATAGTTGGGTTGCCTCAGGATTGGAGGTCTGAAGAACAGCTGAGTGGAAGTATGGTCATAATTCTGATGGTAAGAGTGGATGAAATGATGGGTAAGTCAGAAGAAGATAAGGAAGTGAAATCAGTATCGTCACATATCTTATCCAGGGTTGGTTTAGCAAAATGTTCTTCTAAAATTTACTGTATTTGACAAAAATAAGCATTGGAACATAAAAACAATATCTTACAGATTTCTAGTAGAGAAAGTGATAGAATAGACTTCCTTAGTATTGACAATATTTATGGTATTAGGTGTAATGAGTAAAATAATTTACTTACCAGTTTCGAAGCCCTAGTCACTTCTTTCCTGATATCTTCTATTAGAAAACCATAAACTCCTTCTTCTTCTTTACCCCTCTGCCAAATTCCACTTGACATCAACTATGAATATATTCTCAATTAGAAAATAAACTCTAAGAAACTAGTTTGGAATAAAAAATATATACCTATAATATTCCAATAAAAAATGGGCATAAAACAATTCAAATTTTAAGTATCTCTTACCTATAATAGTTATTTTTCATGGTCAAAGTAAGAGGCTACTCACATTCTTTGATTTGGAAGACACTGTATATTAACAGTTCATGTAACCAAACTGGTTTCTAAAAAGTATTACAGAAAATAACAGAAAAAGAAAGGAAGAAAAACAACAAAAAACACTTATAATCAAGCTTTAGGGGAAAAAAAGTGGCATATACCTAAAGGCGTATATGTAATAATAAGGAATACTATGGAGATAATTATCAGTGATATTTTAGGTTAACTTTAAATCTCGCTGGATTCTGAATCATAGAAGACATATTTATAGGGAATCTACTGAATTGTAGTTAATGCAAATGAATTTTAAAAAATCTGTTTTAACTTTAATTTAAATATGTTAAAGGAACATGAATCAAGAAAAAGCATGAGACTGTGAATAAGAAATCCTGACTTTGCAAACCAGGCTCTGTGTCCAACTTTCTGAAAGCCTAGGCAAGTAATTTAATGTTTCTGACATTAAACACAAAAATAAAAACAATAGACTAGGTTGTTTCCAAGTCTCTTTCAGCTCTAACATTCCATTACCATTTATAACATTACTATACTTTCGTGTTCACAATGAAACAGAATCTTTTAAGTGTTGAGCCTAGGGTCAGTATGTTTCAGGATTACTATACTCATTAATAAAATAAAGAATATAAGGGAAATTTTGATATGACCAACTTAAGCATATTAAATAACTCCAACATACTTCAGATTTGTGATCAGAGTTTTATTTTAATCAGTATAATATATCCTTAAAAAAACCCAAAAGTGATATATGTTACTTAAGAATTATGAAAAAATAACCCACTGACTAATAAAATAGTTGTCTTAACTCTACTACATAAAAAGTAAAACACACTCTTTAGAAAAATGAAAAGGTTTTCTTTTGTGATGCAGACTATAAGGCTCTAACTTACAAATATGTTTGGAATGTCAACTTCATGGTCCCTTAAATCTTGGTACAAAGTAAGTAGGTTCCTAGACCAGTCTACAAATTTTAGAGAAACACCAAGAATTTATGTTAGATGATTTCTCAAGGAAACATCTAAAGAGTTTTAACATGGATGCTGTTGTGGGTATAAAAATATGTCCACAAATTTGTTGATACTCCTTCCTTAAAGTGGTGGGAACTAATTCCTTCCCCTTAAGTGTGGGCTAGAATTAACGACTCACCTCTAACAGAATAAAGCAAAAGTAACAGTGGTATGCAACTGTAAAAACTAGGTCATATGGTTCCATCTTGGTGTATATCTATCCCTCTGTCTCTCTCTTTTATCACTTCCTCTGGGAGAAGGCAGATGCCATGCTGTGAGCAGCCCTATAGCCCAGGAAGTACGGAACTGAGACCTTCTGCCAACAGTTAGGAGGAACTGAGGCCAAAAGCCACGTGAGTGAGCCATTGGAGATGGATACTCCAGCCCAGTCAAGCTTTCAGATGACTGAACCATGGCTGACATCTCAATTGCATCCTCATGAGAGACCCTGAGCCAGAACCACCCAGCTCACCCAATACCAGATTCCTGTCCTTCAGAAACCATTTGAGAACAGAAATAGTCACAGATGTCGAAAACAATCTTATGGTTACCAAGGGGGAAGTGGGGGGGAGGGAGGGATAAATTGGGAGATTGGGATTGACACATACACACTACTATATATAAAATAGATAATAAGAACCTACCACATAGCACAGAGAACTGTACTCAATAATCTGTAATGACCTATATGGGAAAAGAATCTAAAAAAGAGTGAATGTATGTATTCACTGTATAACTGATTCACTTTGCTGTACAGCAGAAACTAACACAACATTGTAAATCAACTATACTCCAATAAAAATTAATTTAAAAAAAGAAACCATTTGAGACAATAAATGTTGCTTAAGCTGCTAAATTTCAGGATAAATAGTTAAGCAGCAATATATAACTAATACAAGTGCCAAGAAATGCTGCATGTGCTCATGCAACCTTAGCATGCTAAGGCAGTGATGGTGCCACTAATATCTTAAGGCAGATTCAGTGAGGTGAGAAGCTGGTGGAGGGAATGGGGAACAAATGAGAGACTAATTCTCAATATGACATTTTTTCTTTCTTCTGAGTGACACATAAATTAACCTATTTCCTTTTACACAAGTATTTATTACCTTTAGTCAGAACTTTTCTTTCCAGGTTCTCTGTGAAATAAAATACTTTTCTTTTACTTCTTAAACCTTCAAACAAGTCTTTTCTGAGACTTATCACTAGCAACAATGAAAACAAAGTACTAAAATGAACAACTCCCTTAGAGACCTAACCATTTTCTCGTTTTTTCCACTGAGGCCCTAAAGGGTTAGACAAAAATAAGCAGGTAATGATGACAGGTATTTCTACGTACCAAGTAATTTCAGAATCTTAGAATTTGATAAATGAAAAATCTTATTTTCACATATAAGCAAAAGGAGATCCAGAAAAGTTAAATGACTTATCCATTTCTCAGAAACCAGCCATCAGGATCGAATTCTCTTCTTTAGAAGAATATCAGATTGCTAGGATTTAATTAAAAATTATACTCACCAAACAATAGTAATGTACAGTGAGATTCCATTTCTCATTAGTTTTCTTTTCTCCATATTTAATAGGACAGTCATCATTTTTTCGACAGAAAACACAAGCTAACAGTGAAAAAAGTAATAGATATAAAAAAATTTTAAACAAAAACAAAAAAAAACCCTATGGAATTGGTGCTTCTCTCAATTGATGTGTTCAATTCTTTTTGAGAGAGCAAATCACTTTATATTGTTATCAGTAAATTAAAACTTCCAATACGTACTTCTAAAACAATAATTTGACTTTACATTTTTTTCATTAATCTTTAATGATGAATCCCAGCGTGTTGTTTAAATGGCAACTCATTGAAAACAACAGATTAGGAAACTCTGAAACTCCATCTCTCTAAAGCAATAAAACCTGCCAAATGCTGGTTGTGCATTTGGTTATGCTGCCAAAACCATCAGAATCAACTTTTCAGAAAATCTGAAATCTGATTTAAAAACTTAAAATAATCAGAAGAATGCTTCATAAAGAAACAAGCTGCCAAAATTTGATGAGAGATTTGTGGCATTTTAACTTACCTGCCAACCATCCCCCACTCTCCAGCTGGGCAATGGCCTTAGGCCCATGTTCAATGTGTATTGTTCCTTAGGGCCATGTTCCTGGTGTGGATTGTCTAAGAGGAGGTAATATGGACCTTGTCAAAGAAATGTGTGTTCTGACCTGTATGGTGGCTCCCCAAGGGACCGGCTCAGATGCCTGCCCTTGTTTCACCTGCCTCAGAAATTTCTCAGGGCTGGAGTCTGACTGTCAAAAACATTTAAGACAAATATACTAGAGGCAGCAGCTTGAAGCAAAGGATAACACACAGGGTAAGCAGGTCACAGACCAAAAAGGCTAGGAAAGAAGAGTCTGGAAAAGGAAGATACATGGGAAAATAAGGGCTTTGAAAAGCTCCCAAATATACCAGGGAATCTAGAAGGACACCACATGCCCAGGACTGGATGCATACTCAGAAATGACCCTAGAAACTCCAAGCTTTCACCTCTGGCTGATCTTTAGGCTTGTAGACTCATATAGCAAGCCTATATGAAAAAGGAAAGATCCCAAATCAATGACTTTATTTTAACCTTAAAGAACCAGAAAAAGAACAAACTAAACCCAAAACTAGCAGAAGAAAGGAAATAACAGAGATTAGAATAGAGATAAATGACATAGAGAATAGGAAAACAATAGAATAAATATAAACAAAGTTGGTTCTTTGAAAAGGTCAACAAAACTGGCAAACCTTCAGCTAGACAAAGAGAGAAGACTCAAAACTTATTAACAAAGCTACAAAAATCAAAAGTGTGGTAATGACATACAGCTAGACATACAGATCAATGGAAAAGAATCCAGAATGACCATACATCTATGGTCAATTAATTTTGAACAAGTATTCCAAGATCATTCCATGGGTAAAGAATAGACTCTTTAACAAATGGGGCTGGGACAATTGGATAGCCACATGCAAGATAATAAATTAAATCCCTATCTCATACCTTATACAAAAATTAATTCAAAATAGATCAAAGACTTAAACATAAGAGCCGAAACTATAAAACTCTTTCTTAGAAGAAAATGCAGGGGTAAATCTTCAAAACGCTGGTTTAGGAATGGTTTTTCAGATATCACATGACACCAAAAGCAAAAGTAATAATAGATAAATTGGACTTCATCAAAGTTTAAAATTTTTGTGCATCAAAGAACACCATCAACAAAGTGAAAAGATAATCTACAGAATGGTTAAATATACTTGGAAATCATATACCTTTTAAGGGTCTAGTGTCCAGAATATATAAGTATTACAACCCAACAATAAACACACAACTCAATTTTAAAACGGGACAAAGGATCTGAATAAACATTTCTCCAAGGAAGATATAAAATAGCCAATAAGCACATTAAAAGATGCTTAATATCATCAGTCATCAGGGAAATGCAAATCCCACAATGAGATACCACTTCACACCCACTAAGATGGCTACAATAAAAATGTCAGATAATAACAAATGCTGGCAAGGAGCTGGTGAAATCAGAACCCTCATATACTGCTAGCTGAAATGTAAAATGGTACAGCCACTTTGGAAAATAGTCAGCAGTTCCTCAAAAAGTTAAACACGGTTACCATGTGATATAACAATTCCATTCCTGAGTATATGTAATACCAAAAAATTAAAAACAGATGTTCAAATACTTGTACACTAATGTTCACAGTAGCACTGTTCACAATAGCCAAAAAGGAAAACAAATCAAATTTCCATCAATGGATGGCTGAATGGGTAAACAAAATATACCATATCCATACAATGGAGTATCTTTCAGCTATAAAAAGCAATGAAATACCGATACATGCTACAACACGGATGAGCCTAGAAACATTATGCTAAATCTAAGAATACAAGCACAAAAGGTCACATATTATATGATTCCATTTATACAATAGATTGCATTATCCAAAATAGGTAAATCCACAGAGACAGACAAAAAGCAGGCTGGTAGTCTCCACGGGTTGAGCACAGGGGAAATGAGAAGTGATTGCCTAATGGACAGAGTTTTCTTTTGGGGGGATGATAATGTTTTGGAACTAGATAGTGGTAACAGTTGCACAACACTGTGAATGTATGAAGTGCCATCAAATTGTACCCTTCAAAATAGTTAAGATGATGAATTCTATTGATATGTTATATGTATTTTACCACAATAATAAAAAAAATTTTTTTAAGGCAAATTGTAGAGTCAGGGAGATCTGAGTTAAGACTTGGCTCCACACTCTTGCTGTGTAACCTTGAACAAGTCACATAAACACTTTATCGTTCCAGTTCCTCATCTTAAAAATAATACGGGCTTCCCTGGTGGCGCAGTGGTTGAGAGTCCGCCTGCCGATGCAGGGGACACGGGTTCGTGCTCCGGCCTGGGAAGAACCCACATGCCGCGGAGCGGCTGGGCCCGTGAGCCATGGCCACTGAGCCTGCGCGTCCAGAGCCTGTGCTCCGCAATGGGAGAGGCCACAACAGTGAGAGGCCCACGTACCGCAAAAAAAAAAAATGACAACAGCAGCACCTACCTCAAACTATGCCTTAATGAGGATTAAATGAGAGAGTATACAGCAATATAATTAAAAGGGTATGGCACACAGATAGAACTGAATGTTAGTACTATAATTACCAATCCTTTCTATCTTATGATATTTACCTGTTCAGCAAATTTCTAATACCATACTAATAAAACAATAAGAAAATCACTAGCTGCAAAGACTCTGAGCATCTCAAGGCAGCAAACCAATAAAAGATGAAATGAACGTGAATCTAAGTTACTGCGTGGAGCAGAAACTCCCTATCTGTCCAATCTCCCCTAACCAATCCACGTTAAACTGTAACTTGACCAAGTAATAAACGTTTACTGTATTAACCATTAAAACTTCAGGGTTTACCTATTGCAGCAGCTAATCATATTTACCTTAACTAATACATGTAATCAAGAATGGATGTTATGTGTTGAAAATATACTGTATCTGTTAATAGGCTACTCAGAAAATAGACTGCAGGACTGGAAAGAACAGCGTGAGCTAATACTTAGTATTGTGAAACATCCCCCCATATTTGTCCTCCCTCACTCCAGCTTAACAAGCAGTAACTGAAAGGCCCTTCCCTCAATCTTTTAAAAGGTTTCGGATCCCCTTCCTCCCCCATACAGAGTACCTGACCACATCAATTGCAGCAAATTGCCATTTGTTTATTGGACCTCTTACACCAGCAGCTCCTGCCTTAACTTCTTCATCCCCAGTGCCTATACTTTCAGCTGTAAGTGTGCATGCAGCTATCAAGAGGAAGAGGAATACAAGGAATTAGCTGAGATTATGTAAGAGGAGTCCTTAAGGTGAATGCTGGATGGAGCTGCATCTGCTATATGCTGTGGACCTGTGCTTTCCATCTGTTCTCCTCCTCCCTTTGCCCAGTACTGAGACCCTTGGACACAGAACAGACTAGGTTTCAGGCATGCATTTTTATAAGTAGGTTACCTTTTATTTATTTATTTATTTATTTATTTTATTTGTACTTTATTTATTTCTTTTATTTGTACTTTGCTGTTGTTTAATTTTAATGTTTAAAATTCAGTAAAATTGTTCTGACTTCATTATATTTATTAAGACCATCTTCTATTATACTCCAGCAAATGATACTGGTTATGTTACAATAATAAAATGAACATATTCATGTAAGTAAAAAACTGAGTCAATCTTGAGAAAAATATTAAGTAAATAACAGTAATAGGTAGTATTTCCATTTGGCAAATATGTGAAGGTAGTCCATGAATTACTAAGTTTCAGAACTATTAGCACAGTTGATAGAAGTCTGTAGGTAAAAGCAGGAAAGCAAAGTAGAGGAGGTTTAAGAGCACAAATTTCCATATCCAACATGATATGGAGTTATCAGATACTCTATAAGTGAGAGTCAAGATACAGAGTTTTAACTGTAATACTTTGAGAGGGAATCAAAAAATAAATTTTATAAAGGGTAGATCAGGGAGAAGTAGTGGCAAAGGAGTATAAAGTAACAATTTAAAATTTCCATCTTCCATAGTAGCTAATCAATATGTACTGTTTATAACTAATAAATGAAAACAACTAAAAGCAAAGGTCTACATCTGTTTGAGAAGACTGCTGTGAGCGCTAACAGGCAAGTTTTCCTTTTCATGTTAAACTTTCATATGTTGTTTAAACTGTTCTCATCTGCATTTTATCTTTTGTAAGAAGAAAAAAATCACACAAAAAGGTAAAAAAATCATATTTATTAAATAAGTAATACTGTTTTATTCAGATACAAACCATACTTGATAAATACACAGAGAATACAAATAATATTCGGCAAATTATCCTTTTCTAGCAGATTTTTGTTGAAATGAATACACACAACATTTTATTTTAGTATACAGAAACATGAACTAAGAATATCAGGAAATTCATTCCTATTGTTTGAGTACCAGTCTAAAAAGATTTATTGTAATAAAAAAGCAAGAGTAAAATATCTTAACATTTTAAAATAAATTTGAAAATATTTTAAATATGGTTACTTACTGGGATTCTGTGAGCCTCCAGTTTTACTTTCATTCATTTTACTAGGAAAAATAAGAATATACAATCAGCCATTTTAATTTTAAAATTCTCAAATTATCCATTTTAATTAGATTTAGGCAGTGTATGATTACAAATACGTTGCATCATTTCTTACTCTAGTACTTAATTTCCTCACCTTTCCAAATCTAAGACCAGTAATTCTCAACAAGGGTGGTAAATTCTGGGGACAGTGTTGAAATTGGAGGGAATGTTTTTTAGTTATCAAAAAGATTAAGATGACTACTGGCATTTATATTGGAAAGGAGCCAGGACTGCAGGACATACCAGGAACAGAGACCTACACTTTCTAATTTCTAGCAGTTTCACAAATCCATTGAAGAAAATTCCATAAACACACGATAACAGTCCTTCACCTAGAGTAAACATAAACATTTTAACTTATAAATAATATTTAGTTAGTATCCCAACAACACAGATTTGTATTTGAGATCCAATCTCTCCAGCTTCTAATTTCTTACCCCTCTCTCCTGTGCGGATGAATTGCAACTACTGCTTACTTTTAAGTTTACTGTAATTCAGAATAATGATTGAGTTCCAAAATATAGGTAACTTACACGGTTATAGACTAATTTTGCTTTATAAGGAAATCACAATTTCTATGGGGCTCTGTCTTCTCCTCCTCTTTCCCTTCAAACTATCGATACAAGGACCCAAGGCATCTCTCTTGGTTGCACAGTGAAATGAAGTTCTGTCTAGATCTTTATAATATATGTATAGACACCTATGCTATTTAAAGAAAGGTACCTGAAGTTTCTTACTTACTAGCCTCAGAACTCCGTACTACACAAGTGCTTTCTCATCTTTACAACAGAAGAGAATAAAAGTGAACATCAATCTCGCATGTCACAAAAAAAGTAACATAGGAATATATAAAGTACCGTGCTGAAAAGGCTCCAAATATCACCGGCTACAGGATGATCATACGAACGCTCTCCAGTGCTATCGAAACATGAACGGAAAAGGTTTTTCCTATTTGTACCAATCTAATAAGTATTCTATATAGTTTTGCAAAGTGTACTAATATACAGTATTCCACATAGACCAATGGAACAAAAATAAAGAGCCTAGAAACAGACCCAGACTTTTCCAGTCACTTGATTTTTAACAAAGGTACCAAAGCAATTCAGTGAGAAAAAGAAAAGTCTTTTCAACAAATGATGCTGGAAAAAATGGATCTCCAAATGGAAAACAAATGACCTTGAGATTCACACTTTACACCATAAATAAAAATTAATTTCAAGTGAATCACAGACCTTACTGCAAAAGCTAAAACTATAAAGGTTTTAAAAGAAAAAGTAATGCATTATACTTCATCAAAACTAAAAGCTTCCACTCATCAAAAGATACCATATAAATAAGGAAACACAAGCTTTAAATGATACATTACACAAGATGGACTTAATTGATATTTATAGGGCATTCCATCCAAAAACAACAGAATACACATTTTTCTCAAGTGCTCATGGAACATTCTCCAGGACAGATCATATCTTGGGTCACAAGTCAAGCCTTGGTAAATTTAAGAAAATTGAAATTGTTTCAAGTATCTTTTCTGACCACAACACTATGAGACTAGATATCAATTACAGGAAAAGATCTGTAAAAAATACAAACACATGGAGGCTAAACAATACACTACTTAATAATGAAGTGATCACTGAAGAAATCAAAGAGGAAATCAAAAAATACCTAGAAACAAATGACAATGGAGACACGACGACCCAAAATCTATGGGATGCAGGAAAAGCAGTTCTAATAGGGAAGTTTATAGCAATACAATCCTATCTTAAGAAACAGGAAACAACTCGAATAAACAACCTCACCTTGCACCTAAAGCAATTAGAGAAAGAAGAACAAAAAAACCCCAAAGTTAGCAGAAGGAAAGAAATCATAAAAATCAGATCAGAAATAAATGAAAAAGAAATGAAGGAAACGATAGCAAAGATCAATAAAACTAAAATCTGGTTCTTTGAGAAGATAAACAAAATTGATAAACCATTAGCCAGACTCATCAAGAAAAAGAGTGAGAAGACTCAAGTCAATAGAATTAGAAATGAAAAAGGAGAAGTAACAACTGACACTGCAGAAATACGAAAGATCCTGAGAGATTACTACAAGCAACTCTATGCCAATAAAATGGACAACCTGGAAGAAATGGACAAATTCTTAGAAATGCACAACCTGCCAAGACTGAATCAGGAAGAAATAGAATATATGAACAGACCAATCAAAAGTACTGAAATTGAAACTGTGATTAAAAATCTTCCAACAAACAAAAGCCCAGGACCAGATGGCTTCACAGGCGAATTCTATCAAACATTTAGAGAAGAGCTAACACCTATCCTTCTCAAACTCTTCCAAAATATAGCAGAGGGAGGAACACTCCCAAACTCATTCTACGAGGCCACCATCACCCTGATACCAAAACCAGACAAAGATGTCACTAAGAAAGAAAACTACAGGCCAATATCACTGATGAACATAGATGCAAAAATCTTCAACAAAATACTAGCAGACAGAATCCAACAGCACATTAAAAGGATCATACACCATGATCAAGTGGGGTTTATTCCAGGAATGCAAGGATTCTTCAATATACACAAAATAATCAATGTGATACACCATATTAACAAATTGAAGGAGAAAAACCATATGATCATCTCAATAGATGCAGAGAAAGCTTTCGACAAAATTCAACACCCATTTATGATAAAAACCCTCCAGAAAGTAGGCATAGAGGGAACTTTCCTCAACATAATAAAGGCCATATATGACAAAACCCACAGCCAACATCGTCCTCAATGGTGAAAAACTGAAACCATTTCCACTAAGATCAGGAACAAGAGTTTGCCCACTCTCACCACTCTTATTCAACATAGTTTTGGAAGTTTTAGCCACAGCAATCAGAGAAGAAGAGGAAATAAAAGGAATCCAAATCGGAAAAGAAGAAGTAAAGCTGTCACTGTTTGCAGATGACATGATACTATACAGAGAGAATCCTAAAGATGCTACCAGAAAACTACTAGAGCTAATCAATGAATTTGGTAAAGTAGCAGGATACAAAATTCATGCACAGAAATCTCTGGCATTCCTATACACTAATGATGAAAAATCTGAATGTGAAATCAAGAAAAAACTCCTATTTACCATTACAACAAAAAGAATAAAATATCTAGGAATAAACCCCACTAAGGTGACAAAAGACCTGTATGCGGAAAATTATAAGACCCTGATGAAAGAAATTAAAGATGATACAAATAGATGGAGAGATATACCATGTTCTTGGACTGGAAGAATCAACATTGCAAAAATGACACTACTACCCAAAGCAATCTATAGATTCAATGCAATCCCTGTCAAACTACCACTGGCATTTTTCACAGAACTAGAACAAAAAATTTCACAATTTGTATGGAAACACAAAAGACCCCGAACAGCCAAAGCAATCTTGAGAACGAAAAACGGAGCTGGAGGAATCAGGCTCCCTGACTTCAGACTATACTACAAAGCTACAGTAATCAAGACAGTATGGTACAGGCACAAAAACAGAAAGATAGATCTATGGAACAGGATAGAAAGCCCAGATATAAACCCACGCACATGTGGTCACCTTATCTTTGATAAAGGAGGCAGGAATGTACAGTGGAGAAAGGACAGCCTCTTCAATAAGTGGTGCTGGGAAAACTGGACAGGTACATGTAAAAGTACGAGATTAGAACACTCCCTAACACCATACACAAAAATAAGCTCAAAATGGATTAAAGACCTAAATGTAAGGCCAGAAACTATCAAACTCTTAGAGGAAAACATAGGCAGAACACTCTATGACATAAATCACAGCAAGATCCTTTCTGACCCACCTCCTAGAGTAATGGAAATAAAAACAAAAATAAACAAATGGGACCTAATGAAACTTCAAAGCTTTTGCACAGCAAAGGAAACCATAAACAAGACCAAAAGACAGCCCTCAGAATGGGAGAAAATATTTGCAAATGAAGCAACTGACAAAGGATTAATCTCCAAAATTTACAAGCAGCTCACGCCGCTCAATAACAAAAAAACAAACAACCCAATCCAAAAATGGGCAGAAGACCTACATAGACATTTCTCCAAAGAAGATATACAGACTGCCAACAAACACATGAAAGAATGCTCAACTTCATTAATCATTAGAGAAATGCAAATCAAAATTACAATGAGATATCATCTCACACCAGTCAGAATGGCCATCATCAAAAAATCTAGAAACAATAGATGCTGGAGAGGGTGTGGAGAAAAGGGAACCCTCTTGCACTGCTGATGGGAATGTAAATTGATACAGCCACTGTGGAGAACAGTATGGAGGTTCCTTAAAAAACTACAAAGAGAATTACCATATGACCCAGCAATCCCACTACTGGGCATATACCCTGAGAAAACCATAATTCAAAAAGAGTCATGTACCAAAATGTTCATTGCAGCTCTATTTACAATTGCCCGGAGATGGAAACAACCTAAGTGTCCATTATCGGATGAATGTTGAAGAAGATGTGGCACATATATACAATGGAATATTACTCAGCCATAAAAAGAAACGAAATTGAGCTATTTGTAATGAGGTGGATAGACCTAGAGTCTGTCATACAGAGTGAAGTAAGTCAGAAAGAGAAAGACAAATACCGTATGCTAACACATATATATGGAATTTAAGGAAAAAAATATGTCATGAAGAACCTAGGGGTAAGACAGGAATAAAGACACAGACCTACTAAAGAATGGACTTGAGGATATGGAGAGGGATAAGGGTAAGCTGTGACAAAGCAAGAGAGAGGCATGGACATATATACACCACCAAACGTAAGGTAGATAGCTAGTGGGATGCAGCCTCATAGCACAGGGAGATAAGCTCCGAGCTTTGTGACCGCCAGGATGGGTGGGATAGGGAGGGTGGGAGGGAGGGAGACGCAAGAGGGAAGAGATATGGGAACATATGTATATGTATAACTGATTTACTTTGTTATAAAGCAGAAACTAACACACCATTGTAATGCAATTATACTCCAATAAACATGTAAAAAAAAAAAAAAGTGAATTATGTATGCCACACACTGGGAGAAAATATTTGTAAAAGATGTGTCTGACAAAGACTTATACCCAGAATACATAAAGAACTTTTACAATAATATAAAGGAAACATTTAAAGAAATGGGCAAAAGACATGAACAGACACTTCATAAATGAAGATATACAAATGGCCAATAAACAAATGAAAAGATGTTCAACATCATTAGTAATTAGGATGATAAAAATGAAAGACTATGAAAGACTATTTTATACCTATAATAATGGCTAAGATTAAAAAGACTATCAACACGAAACATTGGACAGGATATGAAGCAACCGGGGAACTCTCATTAACTGTTGATGTGAATAATCAACAATAATCAAAATGGAATAATCATTTTGAAAAGTTTTAGTAGTTTCATAGAAGTTAAACATATATGCCCATGAACCTAGCCTTTGATGTAGGAATTTCACACCCAGGTATACATCCAAGAAAAATTAAAAAATATATAGACAAAAAACTTTATACAAAAAAGTTCATAGTAGCCACCTTCATGATACTCCAAAACTGGAAGCCTAGAAGTCCATCAACAGGAAAATGGATAAACAAACTGAAGTATATTAATAAAATACAATACTACTTAGCAATGAAAAGGTAACAAGTGCTGCAAGATGCAACAAAACAGATGAATCTTATAAATATGCTAAGTGAAAGAAACTGTACACTCTTCTTATCCACATCATTCCATTCATATGAAGTTCTAGGATAGGCAAAACTAATCTATCATGAAAAATATTAGAACAGTGCTTGTCTCTCAAGTGGGAAGAAGACTGGAAATGACTTAAGTAAACTTTCTGAAATATCCTACTTTTGCTAAGAGGATGTAAGTAAGCAACTTTGATAGAGAGAAGAAATCTCGGTTTCTAACGGAGGTACAGAACTACAGATAAGAGCTTTCTGAACACAACATTCCTCTTCCTTTTGTAGTTTTCAAGGAAACACCCTAGGCCCACTTCGTAGCTCAGATCTGATGTTGCCTCTTTCACACACAGCCTTGGCTTCGCTTTGACCCCATTAAAACACTACTTCATTTAAATTTCACATCAATGCCACCCTTCTCCAACATGTTATAAGAAATCTATTTTACCCTTTGCTCGGTGCGAAGCCTTGTGGTTCCTCGGGTCAGGGACCTCTCTCACTGCAATGAGTCAACAAACCTAACTTTATCAGATTACAGATTTATCCCCGGTGGTTTTAGGCTGACTAGGCTAGGAGAGGTGAAAGAATACGGCAAATGTCACAAAACATAAATAATCGGTGAACCTGTTTAAAGGGTATATAGGAGTTCCTTTCACTATTCATATAACTTTTTTCTAAGTTTAAGATTATATCAAATTAGGGACTTCCCTGGTGGCGCAGTGGTTGGGAGTCCCCCTGCCAGTGCAGGGGACTCGGGTTCAGGCCCTAGTCTGGAAGGATCCCACATGCCACGGAGCGGCTGGGCCCATGTGCTACAGCTGCTCAGCCTGCGCTCTGGAGCCCGCGAGCCATAGCTGCTGGGCCTGCGTGCTGCAACTGCTGAAGCCCATGCGCCTGGAGCCTGTGCTCCACAGTGGAGGAGGCCACCACAGTGAGAAGCCCACGCACCGCAACAAAAACCCAATGCAGCCGAAAATATAAATGAATTAATTTTTTTAAAAAAGATTACATCAAATTAAAAGTTACCCTTGAGGGCTTCCCTGGTAGTGTAGTGGTTAGGAGTCCACCTGCCAATGCAGGGGACGCGGGTTCAAGCCCTGGTCTGGGAAGATCCCACATACCCTGGAGCAACTAAGCCCGTGCACCACAACTACTGAGTCTGGGCTCTAGAGCCCGAGAGCCACAACTACGGAGCCCACGCGCCTAGAGCCCGTACTCCGCAACAAGAGAAGCCACCGCAATGAGAAGCCCGCACACCACAATGAAGAGTAGCCCCCGCTCTCCACAACTAGAGAAAGCCTGTGCACAGCAACAAAGACCCATAGCAGCCAAAAATAAATTAATTAAATTAATTAATTAAAAGAAAAAAAAAGTTATCCCCGAATCAGATAATGTTCTAAAGATATTACAAAATTCATATTTTTGACTGGTTCACATCAGCTTTCTTACTAATCCACAGCATCTGAAATAAAACTTTTGTTGCTAAATCCTGGTGATGAATTTCTTTATTTCAATCAACAGTCTCCAAAATAAAACTTCAGGAAAAAAAAATTCACATATTTTTAGTTGGATTTTATCATTTTTTTTCTTTCCAGTACATGAATTTTAAGACTTCCTAAGTGGAAGAAGGAAAACAATGCTAGGTAAGTATATATCTCAATAACAGCCCAAGTCTTAACAACAGTCTTGGTCTTAGAAATAATATCAAAGCATTCCCCTCTTCCTTGAGAAATCATTAATAATTTAATGAAGAAAGCTCCAGGAAGCCACTATCAAGAGGTATTCTGAGTCTCTTGCACTGCTTACCTCCACTTGGTCAGTGACACTCAGTTTGATACTCCTCCCCCTTCAAAAGGTGGAGCCTGATTTCCTTCTCCTTGACTGTGGCTGTGCTTAGTAACTTCCACCAAAAAGCCTGGCAGAAATGACAAAGTGTAACTAGGTCATAAAAGGCATTATAACTTCCTCCTTGCTCTCTGTCATGATCACCTGCATTGGTGGAAGCTGGCTGCCACGTCATTAATGCTTTCTTTTAAGGTTCTCCTTGGAGATGTCTACTTGGCAAAGAACTGAGGCATTTACCCATGTCACACGAGTGAGCCGTTTTAGAAGTAAATTGTCCAACCCCACTCAGGCCTTCATAAGACTGCAGCCTGGCTGACAGCCTGAGAGCAACTTCATGGGACACCACAAGGCTAAGCTGCTCCCGAATTTCTGACCCACAGAAACTGTCAGATAATAAATGTCTGTTGTTTTAAGGCACCAAGTTTTGGAGTGATTTGTTACACAGCAATAGATAACTAACACAATAAAGTAAGCCAAACTCCCTCTCATTCTAGCTGGGTGGCTGTTCTAACAGTTTTTTTGGTAGGATCCTTAGGATTTTCAATAAATAAGGTCATGTCATCTGCAAACAGACATTTTTACTTCCTCTTTTCCGACATGGATGCCTTTTTCTTGCCTGGCTGCCCTGGCTAGGACTTCCAGTACTATACTGAATAGGAGTGGAGAGAGTGGGTACCCTATCTTGTTCCTGATCTTGCAGGAAAAGTTTTCAACCTTTTACTGTTGAGTATGATGTTAGCTGTGGGCTTGTCATGTACAGCCCTTATAATGTTGAGGTACATCCCTTCTATACCCAATTTGTTGAGAATTTTTATCATGAAGGGATGTTAAATTTTGTTAAACGTTTTTCCTGCACCTTTTGAGATGAATTTGATTTTTATTTCTCCTTCCATTAGTGTGCACACAGGGATAAATCCTGGTTGATCATGATGTATGATCCTTCTAATGTGCTGCTGAATTTAGTTTGCTAGTGTTTTGCTGAGAATTTCTGCATCTATACTCATCAGGGATATTGGCCTATAGTTTTCTTTTCTTGTAGTGACTTTAGCTGGCTTTGGTATCAGGGTAATGTTGGCCTCAAAAAATGAGCTTGGGAGTTGAACATACACTTCAGAAAAGAAATAGGACATGGCCAACAAGCAAATGAAAGAAGGAACACTGAAAAATTCTCAAAAATGTAGGGATTAAAAAAAAAATGTAGGGATTAAACAACACAATCTTAAACAAGAAAAAGAGGGAAGAAAAAACCACAGGGAAATTAGAAAATACTTAGAGACCAATGAAAATGAGAACATAACATACTAAAAATCTATAGTATACAGCGAAAAGTGATCAGAGGGAAATTTATATCTGTAATGTAGACACTGAAATAGAAGATCCCAAATCAATAACTTAACTTTATACCTCAAGGAGCTAGAAAAAGAAGAGCAAACTAAAACCAAACCTAGTAGAAGGAAGGAATTCATAAAGATTAGAGTGGAGATAAATGTAAAGAAAAGAAAAACAAGAGAGTAAAATCAAAAGTTGGTTCCTTAAAAAGATGAACTAAATTGACAAACCTTTAGCTAGACTAGTCATTTGACAAAATCCAACACTCTTTCATGATAAAAAATACTCATCAATCTAGGAATAGAAGGCAACTTCCTCAGCATGATAAAGAGCATCTTTGAAAAACCCAGCTAACATCAAACTCAATGGTGAAAAACTGAAAACTTTCCACATAAGATCCAAAGCAAAACAATGATGTTCACTCTCACCATATCTATTCAACATTGTACTTGAAGTTCTAGCCAGAACAATTAGGCAAGAAAAGAAATAAAAGGCATCCAAACTTAAAGCAAGAAGCAGCTCTTCTTGCAGAAGCCATGATCTTATATGCAGGAAATCCTAATGAATTCATAAAACACTGTGAGTTAATAAACAAATTCAGCAAAGTGGCAGGATGCAAGGTCAACACACAAAAAATCAGACAAATTTCTACACGATAGCAAAGAACAATCCATAAAGAAAATTAAGAAATCCATTTCGTTTACAATACCATCAAAAAGAATGAACTACTTAGGAATAGATGTAACAAAGAGGTGCAAGAATTTGTACACTGAAAGCCATTAAATATTGCAAAAAGAAATTAAAGAACCCAAATAAATGGAAAGAACTCTGTTCATGGTTGAAAGACTTAATATTGTTAAGATGGCCATACTCCCCAAAGCAATCTACAGATTCAATGTAATCCTTATCAAAATCCAATGGCCATTTTTGTAGAAATGGAAAACCTGATCCTAAAGTTCATAAGAAATTACAAGAGACCTTGAATAGTCAAAACAATGTAAGAAGAAAAAGTTGAATGAATCATACTTCCCAATTTGAAAACTTACTACAAAACTACAGTAATTTAAAAAAGGTGGGATGGGACTGGCATAAGGAAAAACATAGAGAAAAAGTTAAGAGTCAAGAAATAAACACATACATATACGATCAATCAATTTTCAACAAGGATGTCAAAACCATTCAATGGAGAAAGAAGAGTCTCCTCAACAAATGGTGCTGTGACAAGTGGGCAGCCTCATGTAAAGGAATAAAGTTGGACCTCTACCTCACACTAGATACAAAAATTAACTCAAAATGGATCCAAGATTTAGTATGTAAGAGTCAAAACTATAAAAATCTTAAAAGAAAACATAGTATTATGTAAATCTTCATGACCCTGGATTTGGCAACAGTTCCTTATGTATGACACCAAAATCATAGCAGCAAATAAATAAATAAGCTGGACTACGTAATCAAGACAGTGAAAACACAATCCCCAAAATGGAAGAAAATATTTGAAAATCATATACTTGATAAGGATCTAATATCCAGAATATGTAAGAAACTATTAGAATTCAACAACAAAAAGACAAATAACAGAACTTAAAAATAGGGAAAGGATCTGAATAGACATTTCTCCAAAGAAAATATTTAAATGGTCAACAAGCACATGAAAAAATGCTCAACATCATTACTCCTGAGGGATATGCAAATGAAAACAACAATGAGAATACCACTTGATGCCTGCTAAGGTGATGATAATTTTTTAAAAAAAGGAAAATAAGCACTGCAAAGGATATGGAGAAATTGGAACCCTCATACATTGCTAATGGGAATGTAAAATGGTACAGCTACTATGGACCAACAGTTTGGCAGTTGCTCAACACATCAGAGAGTTGCCACATCACCCAACAATCACACTAAGTACAGGTATTCCCCACTTGTCGAAAGTTCCCTTTATGCCACTTCACTTTTACAAAAGGCCTATGTTAATACCTGTTTTTGCTAACCAAAGAAATCAAAAAAAAGATTTTCACCTTTATAAAAAAAGATAATTACTTCTTCACTCTATGCCATTTCAGCCTACAAAAGGTTCCACAGGAATGTTCTACTTTCAGATGGCTGCGGAAACCTGTACTTACTGAAAAGATTTGAAAACAGGTATTCAAACAAAAACTTGTACAAAGATGTTCATAACAGCATATTCACAATAGTTAAAAAACTGATACAACTCATCTGTCAACTGATTAACAGATATACAAAATGTGGTATATCCATACAATAGAATATTATTCTGCTATTAAAAAATATGTAGTACTGATTTATGCAACAACATGGATGAACCTAAAAACATACTAAGTAAAAGAAGCCAGAAACAAAGGTCAGATATTTTATAATCACACTTATATGAAATATCTAGAATAGGTAAATCCATAGAGACATAAAGCAGATTTGTGGTTTCTAGGGATGGCGAAATGGGAAATGCGAAGTGACTGCCTAATGGGTATGAGTTTTCCTTTTGGGGTGATGAAAATGTTTTGGAACTAGATAGAGGTGATGGTTGCCCAACACTGTGAATGTACTAAATGGCACTGAATTGTATACTTCAAAATGGTTAATTTTATGAATGTGAATTTTATTACAATAAAAAAGTTAAATGGACATCTACCATATGATGCAACCAAGAGAAATAAAGGCATATGTTCACTGTACACAAATGTCCATAGCTGCTTTACCTGTAATAGCCAAAAACATAAACAACCTAAATGCCCATCAACAGACAACTGATAAAACAAATTGTGAAATATTCATATAATGAAATACAATTACTAAAACCCACTGAACTATATACTCTTAAAATGGGTTAATTTTATTCTATACTATTATATTACCAGACAGATGTTTAAAAGTTAACAACCACCATTAAAAAATAAAAATATTTATTTAAATTAAAAGGAAAAGCACCAGGTAAGAAGCTTGTAAGTCACCCCTCCATTCTAACAGCAAGAGCTGAAAAGACTGAAAAACCAACAACACTTCTTGGATCGGTAAGAAGGGAGGACACAGCAAGCCACTGCCTCCAAGACTGAAGAGAAAGGTGAATACAGGGAGTCACAGCTTACCTGAGCAGTTACCAGCTGAAACTGCTGTTGGATCCAGCACTGCAGTGGGAAAACCTGAACTATAATTGACTAATTGATTGCTGGAGGCTCAGTGTGGAAAACTTTGAGAATTAAAAACTCAAGGGGCATCCAATCATGGAGCCTCTCACAATACTGTGAGATTTATCACCAGGAACTCGAGGGTCCACAGTAAATATCAGAGAAAAATCCCCTTGTGATTTTGGCAAGGGGAGGGGAAAAGGTGCCATTTTGAAATACATCAAAGCACTCTGTTCTTCTTAATAAGGCCTGCCCTCAAGAGAAACTAGTTAACCAGAGCCTAAGCTGCTGGGGTATTATCAGAGCCTAAATGACCCAGGAAAAGGAAACACCCAACTCCAGCATAATGTAGCCATCCCACATAAGAGGGGAGAAAAAAGCTGAGATACTTGTAAACTTCAAAGTCCAGAGGCATAGGCTCACAAAAAGACTGAGACTTAAATCACAGGACTATAAAACACTTCCCCTTCTTCCACACCTTACCAACATGGTACTAATGGCTTATTTACAACAATTCCTTTTACTCAGTACCTCATGTCTGGCTATCAAGAAAAAACCTACAAGACATATCAAAGAGCAAAAAGCACAATTTGAAAAGGCA